CAATCAGGTACAAATTATAACCACAAATACATATTTTGTTATTAATCGCTCAGAATTCTACAAGAATTGTGGTACATTCTTCTTTCCTTCATCCATTATCCACGGAATGTAAGTAATCTACACCTTAATTGAGCTCGATCAGTTACAGTCTTCGATCCCTACCTAAATTTGGGGCTTTAAAACCTTGACTTTAATTACGGAAGTTGTTTAAATGCTCTTCTCTCTCTCTGATTGTTGAGATAAATAAATAAAAGATTCTCGAACAAGGAATTCTTTTTTGCTTTCTTGTACTAAATTACATTTCACTTAAAATAATACTCTCCTTCGATCCAGCCTAATTTAATCAGACACGATTTTCATTGACAAATCAACCTCTTGTTGTCTCTCTCTCTAATTATGTAGGTGGGCAGGGATTTAGGGACAACGGTAACATTGATTGATTTTTTAGTGCGTTGGATGAAGTCTCGTGTTTGCAAAATGCGACAAGTAATTATTGCCGAAAGTAGTAGTGGTCTTACAAAATTGCAAAAAAAAGTATTAGATATCATGTCTAAAGTTTTGGTAGGATGGGCGACATATTAGGTTTCCCATTGTCAACAATCAAACCAATAATGACGGGGTGTTGACGACTACTTATGATAAGTTGGTCGGAATTGTTGTCAAATAGAATGAGTAATCATAATTATGTATGAAACGGTCGAGGAGAATGACTTTTAAGGAAACGCGTTTAAAATATGTAGCATGACTTCCAACTTCTGTTCTGGCAATCAGTCCAAATTACTCGGCATTTGGATGGTGTCATAGTCCTTGATGTTTAATTAACACCTAATTTCCCCTTTGTGTGCTATGTATTGGTAAGTGACAATCGGCCGTTTCATTGTCGGTGGTCTGGTGAAGTGGTCTTGACTTGTCTGCTGGGCTGGTCAGTGTCAATTGCCATTTACATGATCTATCTTCTCGTTAAAATATGAATTCAACCCACAACAAATATTATGAGTACTGAATGACAAAATCGTACTACAAGCTAATAAAAATATGTATGTGTAAATGATTTTCTGTTTACTATTTGTCGAATCTCCTTTACAAATAAATTGTCAGCGTAACTACATTTACAGATACATATTTTTATTAGCTTGTAGTACGATTTTGTCATTCAGTAGTCATAATATTTGTTGTGGGTTGTGTAGTTTTTGCTAGTAGCAGTGTCATAATTAAAATAAAGGTACCTCTGCTCATATTTAATTCATAATCGTTGCGCCATGTATAACAATTTCTTTTTGGATTGTGCACCATTTCTTCGACATAATGAAATTAATGTTCAGTTCATTGTTACAATTTACACACCCACGAAAGAAACATTAAGCGAAAGAGACAACTTCCTTCCTTCCTTCGTCGCAGTGTAAACTTCCAAATGTCAAACAACTTGGTTACAACTTCCACAAGATATTTACTAGACGTATGTTTTCTGCATATCTATTCAAGCAAGACAATGTTTGCTAAAACAAAATAATAATTACCTTCGTCCGTACAGTGTAACATAAATTGTGGGTAGGTCGTCGGTTTGGTGAAATGTATGGTATTTTTTACGATTTTGGTAAATGATACCACCCAGCCGGCTATAAAATTAATGGATCTTGGGTGTGATATCTTTTTGCGTCTGGTTGGACCACTTTGATGTAAAATCTCGAATTGAAATGTTTTTTTTGCGTCGTGCAAAAATGTATGATAACCGGAAACACCCAAGTATAAGTCAGATATGCAGATTTGCCCTGTCTGTGTATGAGTATACATGCATTGTAAAAGCATTTGAAAAATGATCCTGTTGCATCATAATTCATTAATTGTTATGTATAAATTCTTCAAGTAAAGCGGGGCGCAATAAAATAAGGAGTAATTTTGTGGATAAAGTGTTGATGAGAATTGAAAAATGTCATAATTGTGCACTACAAATGTACAATTAATTGAGCTGCACTTCTTGTGACATTTCTTGCGTAAATAACTACATATGCATGTAAAGTACAATAGCTGAATTGAGTGCATTTCCTCGTCGTGGTTTTAAATAGTTTGTGTAATGCTCGTAAATATCTGTCAAGTAATTAGCATTTACGTAAAGTTGTAAAGTTCTACGATGACTAAATTTGTCGTGAAATATGGAGGAAATGTTAGCTATTATCCAGAGCAAGGTCACTATTCCTCTTTTTGACCACACCAATTCAACTACTTAATCTGTCTGGTCTCAAGTTACACAAAAAATATTGTCGCATTGTCGCCATTTATTTATTGTCACCATATATGTATAAATATATAAAAGTAAAATTTTTACTCAATTAAGATCTTACATGCATACTTATGTACATAATCAAGTTGTATTGTAAATTTCAATGTTTTTAGGAAGTTCTCTTTCAAGGTAGTATTTAGTACTTCTTGGGATATCGGATTATATGATCGACAGTTGTTATTTATTTGTTATCCTCCAATGCCACAATAATGAGACTGATCACACCGTGACATCGTGCTCGTCTGAAGGAAGACATGATGACCATCTCCAGTGCGGATGGATTCGGTGATTGAACCAACTTTACCCTTGGAGGACAAATACCTCGTGATATTCATCTCAAACACAATAGGCTAACAAACCGAATCATTAAACATGCCCCTTTTTCTCAATAAGAGTCATGCAGCCATTAAACTGGTTGACCTTTAGTGCAATAGAAACCACCAATCTACATACCTGCTGGCTACTTACATATCTTGCCCTCCCAGCGGAATAATCGGCACGCCGGGGTCGGGCTTAAGAATGTAGAAAATTCAGTGTGTTGTGCAAGTGACTTTGTAACTTTGCAAATACGATTTACTACACATCTATTGAACAAAGTGACGTGTGCATGTGATTCATCATCACAAATGGGCAATGTTATTTATTTATTATGACTGAATGAATTCGTATTGGACAAATCCAAGGGAAGGAACAAAAATAAATGCGAAGGTTGCAAAGGTCGAGATCGAACAACAAAACCCTTAACTCGACTTAAATCTATATAGCAATCGCTCAACCCTTCCTCAAACTTGTATAAGTAGGCAAAGCACTTCTTCATTTGTGTATGTTCGTTCCCCTCGTTTAATACATTTGAAGGACATGAAAGTTGTTTTTGGTCGTTTCTTGAAATTTGTGGTCAAAACCCTTCTTCATAAAGTGTATATATGCATGAATCCACGGCATATCCATGTCTTCAAACTTGAATCTCTAGCAAGGTGTATTGTGAAGGATTTGCCTTTGTTGAGATGTGATGAGTTAACTAACTCGCACATTTCTTAATAAATGCAAGATTCAGTGTACTCCAATATTTTCATTGCCAATCATCATAAGATAGTTGACCATCTTCCTAGAAATTTGGAGCATTGCAATTTATGATCCAGTTTTTCTTTCATTGACTACTTGGTCGTTTGCTCACTGATGTTCGTAATTATGATTAAGTTTGACTGGATGTAGACCAATAACCAGAAATGATTATGGAACTTTGCATGGCCTTTTTAAGTAACAGGGTCAACTATTTTTATATTTTTATCTCTCCTTTTGGCAATGGACTGGACCAGTAAATAATAAGTTTTAAGGATTGTTCTGCAAAAGATTTACTAGAATAATTAGTATTGCATTGCATGATGACAACAATGTCGCTCAACTTTATGGATTTCCTGACCGAATTTGCATATGCTCAATGTCTCCTGCAAAATGGTTTGACATTGCACAATTGCAGCACGAAATTAGACCAAAAATATCTTTAATGAAGGCATATTTTTACACTTTGTTCATTAACAGTTTTAATAACTGTCAGGAATAATTGTTGAAGTGTAAGTGATAAATTCTTCTAAAAATAGGTACATGCATCTGCACACAGGTTGTAGTTGTATTATTTCGCCGTAAAAAAACATATGCATAGATAACAAATCCAATTGTAGAAACTGCATCATGTTGCACTTCATTGCGACATTGGGACAACTTATGGACGAATATTTTTACAACTTGAGAATGCATTCCAACTTTGTGAGTTTGTGCCAAAAGGGACATAAACCTCATTTAGTTATCGAGAATGCATTATTGGCCGTCGTAGCCAATAGCCAAATATAAAACAAATGCATCAGACTTTGTTCTTCGTGATCATAAATATCATCCCTACTTTTGACACCTTTTCGCTATTGTACATATGTAAAATAGTGCATCGTTTCCCATGCAAGTAATTGAAACATTGCTATTTTTGTGAGCACTTAGCACCCCGAGATCAAATATTCTCTCTCTCCAAATATTTAATAGACTAGTTTTTATATTTTCATTTGTTGCTAAATTTGTATTAAAACAAATAATAATAAATTGATTTATCTAGACTCAAGGATTTTACATGTGCAAAAATTGCAAATATTTAGCCAATTCACTTTTACCCACAAATTGTGTCTTGATCATGAATAATTTAATTATAGGGTAAAAATAAAAAGCATACAATTTAGCTCTAATGTAGCCGAATCAATAATGATTGTAATTTAATGATATGCAAATTTATTTTGGAAAAGAAAAGTTAAAACATTAATAGACAAATATAACGACAATATCTGAAGATCTAGCATGCAGTTATTTTTAATCAACTCGTGTCATGTGACACGCGATTTTACTAATACTTATGAACTTAATGAAACTTTGTAAATATTTAAGATTGCCTGCAAAAGGTGCAAACTAAAAATAAAATGTGCAAATTAATACCAAACGAATGACGCGTTATATAAATGTTTTCTACCCTCATATGCATATCAGTTTATGTACCACCAAAGATGTCAAGTCAACCTGTGGTCATTCATTATCATGATACGTACATACATACACATGAATAAAGTGCTGTTGATTGATGAAAAATAATGCAATAGTGGAAAAGTAAGTAAGTAATGTCAATTTGTTACTTACATAATTTTCAGGCAACAAATTGAAGAAAAAATTATTATATAAAAAATCTTACCGGAATCCGCAACTCCAAATTAATAAGAGTTCAACTACTCCTCAGAGGTCAGTTCAATAATTGCTTGCATTTCTTTACATTATTATTCCCGTGGACAGAATCCAATCATCTCGGAGATGAATACGCCATCATCATAATTAAAAAAAGTTTTCGCTAATTACTCGAAAAAGTTTATAATGATGGACATCACTTTTGATTCTTGACGAGTTGGTTGTTCCTCGAGAAGCTTTTATAAGTAATTCTACTTACATATAAGTAGATACAAATAGTTAAGTGTTCGTATTATTATAGAGTAAAATGCAGGCAATTACTAATTAGACATACATCCATCGGCATCCTCGCACTTATTCCTCCTGCTATGCGAACTCAATGCAGTTTCGTTTAATAACTTTTTAATTCTTTATTTCGAATTCACATGTGGTTACTCGAGATACGTTATGTGTTGAAGTCAGTCAAATTACCACAACTTTTTAAATAAACTTATGTATAACTAATCTGCAGAGAGAAGTAAATAGAAAAATAACCCCAACAAATGAAAGTTTTCTTTATGATTCGTCTTCTTCACAAAATTCTCACTTCTTCGATTTGACAAGTTCAACAGACACTGTTAATAGTACGCACGATATTTGGGAATATTCTCTTACTTTGAAAGTTGTTTATAGTTTCAATAATTATAATTTTGGCGAGGTCACGTACCCGATAAATAGAATTTTCGAATGTTGAAATTTATATTAGATTATGCAGATTCTTATTTGAATTTTTCTTCGTTCAAGAGGAAATTTTACTTGGCACTTTGAGAACAACTTTACCCTTAAATTTGTCCAATTTACACTATTTTAAAATACTCGAAAAATTGAAAACTTGAAAAACTCCATGATGAACCACTAAGAAAATTCCTTCTGCATTTTCATGCCTGGGTTCAGTTATAGTTTGCGCAGACAGAAGATGCGTGCATGGTTCAACAGCCCAACAGCAAATGATGTGGTTGAGTAAGTTGAGTTGTTTTGTGGAAAGCAAAAGTTCTACAAGAAATCGAAAGGAACTTTATACCGTCGTCGTCGTATAAGTTTGAAGTTGTTCTGCTGCATGTTATTTTATTATACACGTTACACTTAACTCTTCCATTATTTTTACCTTAACTGCACTGCACTGGGCAAATGGACGGACGGGATAGTTGCACTCGTAGTAAGTAAGTAAGTAATAATATTGAGAGATGAACTGAAAGGATTTTATGCATTTCTTACAGACTGGCCTGGCATAAGATTAAATGCAACTATTAAATGTCAGAGTATGGCATTGCTATTGAGGAGAGGATGATAAGCAACCAGCGATATTAAATGAGATTATTAGTTGTGTTGTCTTAATTAAAATTGTTTATTGTTATTTATTATCGCGATTCGTGTAAAAATGTAGAATTCTAGAATGCTAAATAAACATGTTAGGCGATGTAGGTATACACAATTGTATTCAATGTCAACTTTTTCGCACTCATTTTCAGTCCTCCAGTTTCTAACAAGGTATTTAATCAGGTAATTAAATCGTTATATTTCTTTTATTTAAATTAGGAATTGATATAATTAGAGGTAAATATGAGACACCGCCGTTTCAGAATTCTCATGAATGAGAATAATGCCACAAATTTTGTATGCATTCCTTCATTCAGTAACGAATTATGTCTGCCTTTTACTTATTTAATCCATCGTCTCCAATTATCTTAATTGTAACAATCTTGCGTCATTATTAAGCGGAGCGAAATTCATAAGAAAGGTTTGTCATGCAAGTGTCAACTCGGATAATTAGGAGAAAAAAGTGCGAAGACTTCATCAATTTATTTGCGGCGTCGTCGTCGTCTTGCATAAGTCGTTACAATAAATTATTTATGCGAATCTTAATAATATGGCAATTTTCACTACTACCGGGGGACCCTATTATCGCATCTTTTAGAACAGTGGATAATTTAACAAGCCGACAAGGACACGAAACTACACAATATAAAGCAATCAATATTTTTGCAAATTTAAATGCAGTTTTATTTTTAGGGCTAAACTTTTTTCTATCCTTTTACTTATTAACCTTCACACACTGACTGATCTAGCCAGTTTTTCAAGAGAGGAGAAGATGGTACATACATACAAACAATGCAATTTCTACTACTTTTGCAATTTCCACATTCATATTCAGCCAGTCACCATGAATGAATTTGCCTCCACGTGTTACACCATTAAAAATATAGCAACCTCATCAATATTATGAAGAATAATGAGTGATGGTAATGGCAATGTCACACATTGCTATGTAACACGGTAGCAGTTTGGTACTTAAAAGGGCTTGAAAGTAAATGTGAGATGAAGACGTTCACCAAGCCAGCCAGCTAGCAGAAAAGAACAAAAGTCTCACACTCACCAATTTTGTTAAGTAATGAACAAGAAAATGCATAAACAAAATCCATTACCCTTCTTCTTCCACGGTGGCCCCTACTGAACATGAGACGAGTACATACTACGTAATGAAATGCAACAGGAAAGACAATAATTACAGTAAAAAGGCACTACATAATTTCGACGAGTTCTCACACAATGGGTGTGACCTTGCCTGTTGCCTTCGTATCGTTGCTTTCATATTTTTACCCAGGTGTAAAAAAGGGTTAAAGTTATTTAGTCCAGTCCAGCAATAATAAATAGGAGACGACCTCTTCTTGTTGTATTTTTGAGATGCTTTATCTACTTTTTTTCATACAAATGTATTTGTTGTTAGCAGTTGGATATGTAATACGGAAGATGACAGAGGATCAGATAATACTAGGCAAGGTTTTGTTCGTCGTTAATAAGTAAATAGTAGGGTTGAAAAATAGTCTCATTTTCGTCAGGGGTCTTTTTATAGTTTTTGTCCGTACTAAAAAAAATAAGCAAATAAGCACATTATATTTTCACAAATAGAGTAAAGTATGTCAAGCAATGTGTGACATTTAGTTTGGCAAATTTATCCAATTTTGCAAGTAAAAGTTTATCAATTTAAATCACTATCGAATTTATTTCTTCATGATTGATTTAGAAAGTTAACATAAAAAATTTGCCTCTCCAATAAAACGACACTGTTCAATTTCATTACGTAAAGTATTTGATTAAGAGGAGGCAATTTCCACTTGTAATACGACAAATTTGGAAAATTTCAACGGATTATTAATGACATGCATACGAGTACTTTTTAATATTGAGTCGAGTAATACGATATCCGTTGAATCATCCATCCTCCTCTGGGAACAATGGAGACAAAAATTATTACCATCAAGTGTGTGCAATGCAATGAGCATCTTCCTTCACTTTTGAATAAATGAGCTGATTGTTCTTCATTGTTTTATGGATTCGAGTCCAATAATTCTTGCTCACTCTTTTTCGAGATGAGAAAAGATTTGTCTTGGAAAATGTAACGACGGTTCGTGGTCGATTAATTCGAAGCATATTATCTTTTCATAGTTATACACAGGAAATCACCATGTTCATCACCATGCAGAATCTGAATCCTGCATGGTGAACATTATTGGTCGCTTGCGTATTAGACATCACATTATAATTGAAGTATTGAATATTGATTCTGTAATTAATGTTATTAATCACCACATACGACGAGGTAGCTACGTAATTGGTTACACAAATAAGATTAGAACAATGCAAGTTGGTCAATACGTAGATTGTCGGATTGTGGTGGATGAGATTCATAATTCGTGAAATCTTACTGCTTACGTTACGTAACAAATAGCCCGAGAGACTGTACAGCAGCGCAGATTAATAATAAATACATGGCTCCGAGGACTGATAATAAAATAAGGTAGAAGAGGAGTTATGTATGTATACGGATTAAATGAAGGTCTGTGAGTATTCATATTTATTCTGCCAATTTGAAGCTATTGTTTTGTTGTTGCTTATTAGATTTTAATTGCTATGTTGTTCATTGTTTTATGTGATATTCTTCTTCCAGTCGTGCCGATTTGGTTGAGCAACGTTTCCTTTATTAATCTATAATAATATGCTCAATAATTATAAAGGAATTAAGAACATGACACATTTAACCGTAGGAATTACATCATGCCGGTTCATCAATCAAAAGAATAGATTTTGTTAAAATCTTAAAGTGAAAGGTGATACCCTGAACCTGAACTTCTAGCTAAAACATGGTAAAAGTTTTAAAATTTGTGTGTATAGAAATGTGACAAAATAGATATTGTATAATTTCGGGCATAATCTCGTTATAATATTTCGGGACAATCTTCAAACTTTTCGGGATGATCTTGATGGTCGGGATCAACAGCGTTAACTTGATAGAGCAAAGTCTTTGTTTTCATCATACTGAACGAGTTGTCAAAAATGAAGGAATACGTTCCAGTGAGTTCGCAACAGTGGGATCCTTCCTGTACTTGATTGTGAGCGTCAACTCGGGCGTACGGGACGATGTCAATTGTATCAAGATCTTTACTCTTTCCATTTGCAATATTATTATTGATTTTGTTATTAGAATTATTATCAGGAGCAACGTTGAGTTGAAATGCAATGTCGTGATTGTCCGTCTTGAATTTCCACTCTAGAATTGTACTTTTCTCGGTAACTTCAACTGTTTTCACAAACTTGTCCCTTGCGTTAACGATGGTTTTGTGAAAGTCGGCGTCTGCTTCGGTGAGACCTGTGCCAAATTATGAGATTTAGATAATATTTAAGTGATGTAACTCTAAAATTACTAATTATTAGTTACCTCGCATAACTGCTCTCATATCTTTAGGTCCCTGCATCCACATCTCGTGCCCAGAACAATACTCGTCCACACCTTCCAGTGTTCCACCCCAGTGAGCGGGAATATTTTCTACAGGAAACTTTTGTCGGACGACAGCCTTCCACTTTTCAGGGTCAGGTCCTGAAGTAAATTGTATTGAAAGAGTTAAGTAGAGGGCAGAAGACAATAACATTGCAGCAACAATTTACCAAAAATCTCGATCTTCTCCAATGTGTTTTTGGGGATGAGTGGTTTGAACATGTTGAAAAGCGTGACAAAGATTTTTGGAGCATTAACTATCATTGCATATCGAAGAAATTCCGGATAGTGCAGGTCCATTTGGTGCTGCATTTTTGTCATAAATTCACGACATAGTCTATTTGACATTTGTCGATATGAATACCTGTCAAAAATAATAATTCATACGTATTTTAGATGAACATTTTTTATCTTACATAACGAATCTTGATATTTAACTAACCCTTCACAATCCGCAATTTCAATCATTTGTGTAACTTTCCTTCCGTGTTTTATGCCCTCGTCGTGCAATAATTTTGTAACCGCCTCCATATTCATCGTTTGATAGCGTTCCATTGCTTCCATTCCGTACTTTTCAATACCATATCTCGCGTCATGTCTTCCAAACGGAACGACAAAAACGGCATAACCTTCCTTTGAGACCCCACAATATGCAATTGGAGCCATGGACCGTAAATCTTCTGGCATTTCATGTCTTTCCAAAATGGTGTCAACGTCATTTTCCTTGCGCCACTTCATTGAAAATCTCAACATTTCTTCAGCCTTGGTCACGTCTAAATTTCTAGCTCTCAGCCATCGAATAAGGAATGAGTCGTCCTTTTGGTCTTCTGTTTCCAAAATATAGTCAACCTTTTTTCGAAATTCTGCAAGTTTCTGTTTTTCCACGTCCGAGTAGTCGTCTGATGCCGGTAGCGTGGAGGTTCTTCTGGCGTCCATAATGTGTTCGGTTTTTAAATCTTTATCTGAAAGTTCACAAGACGGGTTAGGATTATGAAATGATTGCAAATACGCGAATGCATGGAGATAAATGCTTCACACTTTCACCATGTGTTTCATGATGGTAGATGTATAAATAGAAGTGAAAATGTAGTATGTACACATAACCGGATCGCCTCAGCTCAACTCGACACTTGTTACTCGAAAATCAATACCAAACTCAACGTTTCAAGTGCTATACATTTTCGTACATCCAAATGAATGCATACAGGACAAAAGAGTACTCACCAAAAACTACGCTAAATCAATGTAAGTAAAAATTCCAAAGTTCCAATTCCAAGTGCACAAAGTTTACTCAATTATTTGCGTACTTAGGCATGTATTTTGACGCCTGTTGTTGGTTTCCAACTATGCAAAATGCAACTGACTACAGCTATATATCGCTTTCGCAATGTTTTGTTCAGCAAGTCTGACACGTATGTATAATTATTTAACAAAAACACTACTCCATGTGCACAATTATTGTACAGAAGATGTATTTACATGCATGTGTAGATGCGCTGTACCAGACCGTACCACCGCAGACCGCTTCACTTTGCAGTGATTCACCCACTCACGAACTGGTTCGTCGAAAAGATAGAGAAGATGCAATGCAATAGAAAATTTCATGCGGTGATGACGCACATGTCCCATTCACAGCGCAATTTCATCAACAAAAACAGCCCTATCCCAGAGGTCATCATAACATATTCATCAAATCACAGGATACATACCTACACAAATAGGAACGATATATAAATCCAGTAAAAAAATGGACAATTAAAATACAAGCATCAATATCAAACAGACAGAATCTGTAAACGAATATGATTCATTATTTGACATGCACTTACTTATTTACTGTTGTTGAAGTGGGGTATGAATTGTGCACTAGAGAAAATGCTGCTGGTGCTTTATGAAGCTTTGACCCTAGATAAATATTAACAGAGTTTAACAGGATGTCTGAATGGCAATGCTTTATGATCATGTGTACAATATTAAGACATGAACTTACAGATTGTTGTTGTTTTTATGAATCCAGTATCGAGAGAGCGGTATCCTCTTAATGTCAGTTTTGTATGAATTTATTTCCTTAATTAGTGATTTAATAAAGTAAGAACGTCACACTTTAGCACTCTTGGAGAAATATAATGGGAAGACTTTGACCACAAGTTAGTTTGATAACTGCGTATCTTTTTTTCTTAAAATTCGACACAATAACCGTGTTGACGGTTGTTTTTATTACTTCATTTTTAACAAGGATGCATTGACTGCAAGACAATTTATTTTAAACAAGAACAAGGATCAACTTAACACAGTCTGATTAAGCTAAATACATAACCAAGCATTTATCACTTAAAATAAACTTATTCTTATCTGAATAAAAGTCCAAAATTTATGAACAGTTAAATTGGAAGGATGGTATATTACTGGACAAGTGCTACAATTTTTCTCAACTTTTCAACAACTTCCACATACCATAAACTAACAGCCTCTTCATGTCAGTTGAGTAAAAGTAACTTTATGTAACTTTATAACATAGAGCTGAATAACACGTATTCAGTTGGCAACCTTGGCATAGAGTTCTGCCCGATGACCTTAAAAGTATGTGGGCATTAATTTTTTACTACCTCTGGGAAAATTACGGGGAGGAAAGCTGCACTGTCAATTTATGTATTTCATCAGATTGTTGGTTACTGGCAGAGTTGAATATGTGTAATAATAATACTGGACAGAGAGATGAACGCAACAAAGCGAATAATAGTGAATAATGATGATCATCTATTCTGCATGTCATTCCACTAAATCATCATGCAGATAAAATGTTCCTATAAATACACTACACAGCATCCTGAATTTAAATTCAAAGCCAAGGACAAAAAAGTCTAAATGAAACTTAAATTACTTAAATGTAAGGTGGTTGGCTAAACATGCACCACATCACATGTTGCCTAATATAATTACCACCTGTTAGAAAACTTTAGCTTGCATAGCACGAGGCTATTTTTTGCTAAACTCAAAAACTTGTGAATCATAATGTCGACCAACAAAGAGCCACTGCTGAAACCGGACCTATGTACGTGATGTATGAGTCATCAAAACTAAACCTCTTACTTGAAATAATTTCTCTCCTACGGTGGATAAATAGAAATGTATGACAAATTAGAAATTAGTGACTTATATAAGAGCAACATAAACTAATAGATTGAACAAATTTAAACTTGAAACTTCTCTATGTGAAACTCAAAGCCAAGACCTAAGTAGTTGTTGAAGGAAGAAGAAGGAGGCAGGCGTTCACTAAACAAACTCTAATATTAATATTATGCAGCTACTTAATAATAAATGAAGTATTAATTAACAAATAAAGATTACTCCTCTCTGAATACATACATAATACATGTCGTGAAACTGTAAAAGTTAAGAATATTGAACATTGCTGAAAATCATAAAAATGCATCTTCATTTTCAGAATCATCGGACAGAATTCCTTCGACAATTGTCGAGTTTGAAATGTACCTTAGTGAAGTCAGCGAGAAGCTATCACTATTATCTTCAATCTTGTGTGGTGTAAGATCTCCAACAGTAAGAAGAGATGGTTCATCCACAATTTTTAGGTTATCCGGTTTCTTCAGTCGTGGAAGCACAGGAAGGATCGGATTCAGCAACGAAGACGTTGGATTGTACCATCCAAAGCTAGACTGCGATTGCTTTTTCGCATCCCAAGCTAATTTTTCTAGCGGTTGAATAGCAGAATGGCCAAAAGGGTAGGTCATCGGAAAGGCACCCAGTGACGTGTACTGGTCTGTAGAGTTGTTACTGTAAGTAGTAAAGTTTAGGACAGGTGGTGAAGGAACATTCTGTATGGGGTTGCGAGGCTTATTAGAAGTTGCAGTGTGGTTTTGTACACTCTTCTTCCATGATAATGGCACAACGTGTGGAGGAAAAGGTAGTGATAGTTTCCGTTCAGGTTTCAAAAAAGTTTCGTTTACGACCCTGCTCCTTGCAACTCTTGAAACTGGTGGATATGACTCCCGAGTCGACACCTGTAAACATGAAAATTATTAACGGCAACGTTCATATAGATTGAGATACAAAATAACTAACCGAAATTCGAGAAACTTGCTTAATTTCCACCTTGATCGGATCCTCAAATTGACCCGTCTTTACTTTTTCCTTTGAACATGTTGCTGTGGTTGATGTCTGGATTTTCGATCCCGTTCCCCCCGATCCTGCTCGCAAGACCTTCTCCGCCACCTTATCTTTTGCTGCCACGACTGCTGAAGGCCGTGATGATGGCATATTCTTTTCCTTGGTCACATTTGCTTCCCATTTTTGTCGAAACTCTAAAAACTTGCTGTTATGCCCATTCACATCTTTTGGAGAAGTGGGTGAAGTGCTGCTATCTGAACCAAGGCGGGGCCTTTCGCCAAGTCTTTTCCAAATTCCACCCTTCTCAGTTTTCGTCTCACTTCCTGTAATTGTAATACAAGGAACCTCAGTTGGTGTTGGTAAGAGCCCTGGGGAACCATATTTCGACAGTAGTGGTGCAAAAGCGGCAGATGCTGCAGCACTTGTCGACATCAACATAGTAGAAGATGCTGACGACGAACCCGAATCCTGTCGCCGATTTTGCACAGGTGTAGAATTACCACCGCTCAATCGCCTCAGTGCTGGAAACGGTTGACGTTTTAATTTCGTCGATGAATGGAATGGGACAGTTGCAGGCCGGTTGCGCTGTAATTGCGAAGGTGGAGATCTTATTTGATTTCTACGACCACGGTTAGAATCAAGACTGCGGTCACTGCTACGATTTCTCCGACCATCGTTCTTTCCCCTGCTGCTGCTACTGGTTCGACGAACATCTGGGACTTTGTTTGGTTTTGGTGACAACATTTTGCTGTATTTTTGATTACACGCTGTAATTTACACCAAACCTAGAAATATTTAAAATTTTAAAAGAATAAGAAACAGTTTTCTCAATTCCTCGTTTGCTATGAACTTGTAATACCTGATCAAACTTCAAAAACCAAGAATTGGCAAATGGCAAGTTTAGTTTTGTTATTTTCAGCAATCAAATTTATCAAATTTATCAAATTCAAATAATTAAAATGAAAAATCAAAACCCAACTACGAAATAAAAGGAGAAAAGCGATGATACAATTTCTACCACATCGCGAAAAAAGGAATTTCTACTAATGACTAATTAATTAATTACGTTTAATAATTTATCATTTTTTTCAGTTTGCTGTTTTTTTGTCGTCTGCCTGCCTGCGTGTGTTTGCCTACCAAATAAATATCACGTGTGACGTCAGACGTGGTAGGTAAATCTTTGTCTTTGTCGTGCTTGATGGAGAAACACCATGAAAATCTCATCTCACCTTTCTCTACAACCACCTTCACGTCCATGCAAATATGAATGATCGAAAATAACCACATTATCCTCATTTACTACACAATTAATTTATTTGAAGTTACAATTCAAAGCTATTTATATAAATAACAACCGGGAAATAGTATAAGTTCTGTAAATGAATATTATTCTACATAGATTCATCTGTTAATAAGTGAAACACTTAATATAATAAAAATTCTATCTATATATATGTTATCAACAATTAAGATATCACTTTGTGTTTTCAGTCATAAGACGATGTGGTCATGATAAATTATATAATGAGATTTGTAGATTTTTAATCTGCAAAGAGTATTTTGCTTGGGTTTCGCCCAACTGCAACTGGTGACTGGTTTCGATTTCTGGGTGGCGTCGACATATTGTAATATTTGCAATTAGGACTCCCAGGACTCATACTCATGTTTCTTCGAAGCCGTGAAAGTGGTTTTGTTGGACTTGGCGTTTCCGGTATATATTTCGCTCGTCCTGGATTCTTTTGCTAATAGAATAAGACAATTGATTATTCATTTAGCATTATACTACAGTATAAAATTCTGCATGATGATTATTGGAAACAAAGTTCACTTACTACACGAATTTGCTTGAAGTATTCATTATACGGCAGTGACTTATTTAACAGATATCTCACGGGAGCACCACCATCACGGGACTTTGCAAAATAGTGGTCCAGATATCGGACAGATTCGCGACGACAGGGCACAGGTTCGAAGAGAAGGAGGTACGGAATCATGGAATCTTGCAGACAATAACGAGCCATACGATTTCTCGTCGCGGAAGTCCCATGTTGTAAGCTCTCAATCTCTGTGTAATGAACGTCCTGTTTCTCCTCCTTCTTGTTCAGGTAACGCTTCGCTACGCTAGCAAGTTTATAATAACCTCGACCATAGTGCAACTTATCATGTCGGGCAACTATTGGATATAGGTCGAAAACAATGCGTCCTTGAATGCTTATATACTTATCGTCGTACTGGTGAACTTTCTTTAGCTCGCTTTGCACATTTCGCATTTGCGATTTTATTTTCTTCAAACGCCCCATGAACCTAAGGTCAAAGAGAGTAATCAAATTAGTACATATTTATTACCTTAGCCTTTAGGTCAATCTAAATCAGAATTAGAGAAACTTACGGAAGCACCGCGGACGCATTATAACCAAATCCTTCCAACCCAAATGCTCTATCAAATAGATATGGAAAGTCAAATTTCTTGATATTATATCCAGTAATAATGTCTGGGTCCATCTGTAAAATAAGGTTGGTAATTTATTTAGGGGTTCAATTATGAAAAATTTGAGGTACATTTGCCATACATGCACAATAAAGTCTCTCCATGCACCCAGTAGCATATCTTCCGCGTCCTCCAAGTACTTCTCCCCCGTTGCTTCAGGTTCTTCTTTAACATAAAACTGAACAACTTGAGCATCTGGAATATCGTCACAAGTCCCAAGGACAAATACTGCTTTTCCAATAATGCAATCTTTGGCATCTGTAAGTTGTTATTTGTATTTCTTCATTTCATCGCTAGAATGATTTTTATATTAATGTGTACCTGCTCCAGCATAATAATTCCCTAATACAGCACCAATTTGGATAACTTGTCTACTCCCACTGTACGAAGGTGAAGCATCTTCGTTAGACGAGGTCATCACTTCAATGTCAAAAGATAATACTCGCACGGCTGGGTTAAACTTGTATCTTGAATGAAAATCTTCAAGTTGAAAAATGTTGTCATAATGAACGTCAATTTCAATCTGTGAATAGCTCTCCTTCAGAGGGGATTCAACACAATCTGAAATAAACGACATTACATAAATATTGCTGTAGCACAGTCATTGCGATGATCTCATACTTCTCACAAAATATTGGGCTCCCTTTAATTCGTACCACGAAGACCCCGTCATGTTTCTGTCCGTCAAAAATCTAATAGTGTTGTTTATATTTGTTTCAAAGTATTGGAATTTCCAGTCTTTGAATCTCATTTGTATCAAATCGGTAGAATTTGTAGGCCAAATAAATCTATAAAATAAAATTATTTTAACCAATCAAGTATAAAGTTATACCAGTTTACATATGCAAATTTTATTATTCTGCACGTACCGTGGCAGTGAGCAGTAAACTTTCAATAGTATCGTATTTCCTTTTGTTCCATGGAGTTTGCTTTCGAAAAAATGATAAATTCCATCCTCTTCGGAAGCCGTCACCGTTTCAACGCGTGCCACACATTTTCCGCACTCTGATACAAAATCGTGGTACTCAATACAAGAAATGTCGTCTAGAATAATGTTCCTAATTTTTTCGTTCAACAACTGTTCAAATTCTTTCTTCTCCGTCTCCGACCTCCAATATTCTTCCTCGTTTACGTCGTCCAATGTCGTAGATATGGGAAGAATGTAAAAATATGGCAAGAATCCATGGACGTTACAACAAACTGAAATACTGCTGGTTTTGTCAAACTCTGCACATTCATCATCGTTATGAGATAATTCCAGAGTTTTCGGTTTGGTCGTCACTCCAAATAGTCTACACAACGAATAAATAGACAAGATCAGGCATTGATTAAACTTTAAACATGTGCATTTCTTTATCGTGTTATTGTGTATTGTTCATTCATACCGCATCACATTATGGAGAGGAAATTGCTGCACAGATGAGTCCAACTTTATCATAGGATGTTTAACAGAACTGACGGTTGACACGGCGTCCAGTACAAAGAACTGGAACGGATCTGGCTGTTCTTGCAGCACAGATGATGAGTAGAAAAAGGTATCCAGTGGGACTGAAGGTCTCTCCCACGCGCAGAATTTACGTTGAAAGTCTTTCGGAGTTGTGAAGATTGTCGTCGTTGCTGAATTTACGCCCTTCTCAGGTCTAAGGGACGCTGACGTGGTTGGTGCGTTCTCGTTACCCTCCTTCAAGAAAGCTTCAAATAGCAAATCATGTTCTTCGTCGTCAAAATCGTCCCCAGACGTGTCAGCTTCATTATCGTCAATTGACAGGTTATGAACCTCCATCCTACCCTTGTCGAGGTTGGATCTTGTTTTAAGTTACCAGAACATGGCGATTCTAAAGAAATTAATTTACAAATAATTAGAAATTGCAATTTTCTAAACTAACTACACAAACTTATTTACCTTTTACATTGCGATTTAAATTTTAATTAACTTTTGTGTATTATTATTATATATTGTGTATTGTGAGTTTGAAACACATGATTATTATTACTAAAGCTATTTTAATAAATTGTAAAATTCATGATAATTAACTAACTAATTTAAGATAAACTAGGAAATACTCTAAACGTTGTTTTTGTTGATCTCAAGATCATTCGTATGGGTCTCATACGAATTTAGGATACAAAATCGTACATTGGGGCCAGTTGAGGCCGCCGGGAGAAGGAAATCTCGTCTAAAAATCAACAAAGTTTCTGTCGGTTTATTCAGTTTAATTTTTAACCGTTTTAAAAAAATTTCAAAAACAATTTCGCCATTATCTCATTTATCTCATGAAGCTAGATAACCATCAAGTCCAGTGTATGTGAAGTTTACATAGTTTTATAGTTTTTGCGTTTGTTTATCATCACTTTGAGTCACTACCTCGTCGGTAAAGAAAGATTTAAAACTAATAAATTTGTCATTGTTGTACTTTAATTACACTGAATTGGTCTTTTAAATTTAGGTGACCATTAATTAAGCAATAAATCATGGGAAAGGAAAAGAAGCGAAATTACAGATCGCGATCTAAGGACGATCGGGGTGAACGCGAATCGCGAGGAGGAGACCGCGACAGAGAACGACAAGAACGTCGCACAAGAAGAAGTCGTTCCCGGTCACGAAGTCCTTTTGATAACAGTAGGGAAATCGGTAGTAAGAGGAGCAGTAAATCGTCACGAAAAGATAGAGGTGACCGATCACCACTTGGGAGGTCACGATCTCGGTCCCCACCACCTGCAAAGGATAAGGTTCGAGACAATATTGCCGCATTTGCAGCCGCAGCGGGCAGCAGTGATAAGGTTGATGATAAGGAGTCCGCCCAAAAGAAGCTGGAAATGGAGATGCAAAAAAGGAAAGAACGAATTGAAAAGTAAGACTCAGTGTTAACTTCACGTTATGTTACTTGCGTACATTGAAATATGTAACCAACATTTTATTTTATGATTGCAGGTGGAGAGCAGAAAGACGAGAAGCCGATTTGAAAAAGGAAATATTAGTCAAGAAAGAATTCTTGACCAATTCCAGGAAAAAGTGGACACTTGATGAAGACGGGGATGACGACGAAGAACCCAGCGCTCCAGCAGAACCTGACATCGAAGAGACTCTTAATAATCCTCCTCCTGGTGTGGGCGATGAGGTCGAAAAGGAACCACCACCTAAAAAAATGGAGGTGGATGAGGATGAGGAAGACCCATTGGATGCTTTTATGAAGAGTGTGCAAGCTGAAGTTAGAAAAGTTAATGTCAATGTTAACAATGGAGGTGAGGAAGCTCTTTGTAATTGTTTTGTTTTGATACGCTATTTATCACTAACTTAATTAAATATATATATTTTTAATTAGTCACAACTTCTCAAGATGGAAAAGCCATCGTCCAGAAAATTGTCATCGTGAAAGCAGCTCCAGCAAAGAAAACGGCAGAAAATAAAAACAAGGGTGAACTTATGGAACAGAATCAGGATGGATTGGAGGTAAGATAAAGTTATGGCTTGGTTGGATTTAATATTTAATTGTTATTTATGTTTTCTCTTAGTACTCTTCCGAGGAAGAAACTGAGGATTTGGATTCCATTTCTACCAACATTGCAGCCAAAGGCAAAAAAGATCTCATGAAAGTTGACCACAATGCAATTGAGTATGAATCCTTCACGAAAAGCTTTTATGTCGAGGTACCTGAACTTGCACGATTGACTCCAGGTAATTGAAAGCATATGATTACTACATGGCATGTAGCTAAATTTAACAATATTTATTTGTTTTATGCCTGCAGGAGAAGTAGACGCTTATCGATGTGAACTAGAAGGAATTCGAGTTAAGGGTAAAGGTTGTCCAAAACCTATCAAAGTTTGGGCTCATGCAGGCCTTTCTAAGAAGGAAATGTCCGTCCTACAAAAACTAGCGTTTGAAAAGCCGACACCTATTCAAGCTCAAGCTGTTCCTGCTATAATGTCGGGTAAGTTTTTAATAAATTTGTGTAACTTGAAATTCCCATGTTCGATGCTTTGAAAAATAGTGATTTTTATTTGTATTCGTGTATTTTAATCAGGAAGGGATTTAATTGGAATTGCTAAAACTGGTTCGGGGAAAACGCTGGCGTTTCTGCTCCCCATGTTCAGACATATTCTGGATCAGCCAAGCTTGGAAGAGACAGATGGACCAATTGCCATAATTATGGCTCCTACCAGAGAACTTTGCATGCAGATTGGACGTGATGCTAAAAAGTTTAGCAAATCCTTGGGACTTACTGTTGTCTGTGTGTATGGAGGAACTGGAATATCGGAACAAATTGCAGAATTAAAGAGAGGAGCGGAAATAATTGTGTGCACACCAGGACGAATGATTGACATGTTGGCTGCAAATTCGGGACGCGTAACTAATTTACGACGAGTAACTTACATAGTACTGGACGAGGCAGACAGTAAGTTATAAAAGTTAACGTTATTTTTTTCACATTCACTAGATTTATATCTTGTTTTTTAGGAATGTTCGACATGGGTTTTGAGCCACAAGTGATGCGAATAGTTGACAACGTCCGCCCTGACCGACAAACCGTTATGTTCTCTGCAACTTTCCCCCGTCAAATGGAAGGTGAATAGCAAAAATTTGTATTCAGTTTATACTATTGTGTAAGAGTTCCTCAGATCATGCTAATGAATTGATTTTCTTTACTTTCAGCCCTTGCTCGTCGAATTTTAAATAAACCAATCGAAGTTCAAGTAGGTGGAAGATCCGTAGTGTGTAAAGATATCGATCAGCACATTGTAGTTCTGGAAGATGACATGAAATTCTATAAACTCTTAGAAGTCCTGGGAGTGTATCAAGAACAGGGCAGTATTATTGTTTTTGTGGACAAGCAGGAAAATGCAGATTCTCTTTTAAAAGACTTGATGAAAGCGGGGTATCCGTGCATGAGTCTACATGGAGGAATAGATCAGTATGATCGTGACTCTACAATTACAGATTTTAAAAGTGGCAAAGTACGATTACTTGTAGCAACGAGGTAAGTGAATATACGTAGATCATATCCTATGATATTTCTGACGCTATTGTCTACTTAACCATAATTATCCCATAATTTTCTGGTATCACGCAGTGTCGCGGCAAGGGGTTTAGATGTCAAGGATTTAATTTTGGTGGTTAATTACGACTGTCCGAACCATTATGAAGATTACGTTCATCGATGCGGTAGAACTGCCAGGTACTATAATTTTAACAGCATTTTATCATTTATCATATAGTGTCCTGTATTTCTAGCTAAAATAAAGGTTACTAATCATGGCGGTGCTTGTTTCTTGCAGAGCCGGAAATAAAGGGTGGGCCTATACATTTTTAACACCTGAGCAAGGCAGATATGCTGGAGACATAACCAGAGCATTGGAATTGTCTGGTGCCGACGTTCCTCCTGAACTTACCGAATTGTGGGACACATATAAATCTCAGCAAGAATTAGAAGGGAAAAAGGTTAAAACTGGGGGAGGATTTTCTGGTAAAGGATTCAAGTTTGATGAGTCAGAAGCTCAACAAGCTACTGAAATGAGAAAATTCCAAAAGCACGCTTTAGGTAAGTCCAACGACGATTCTTATTTCAATCAAATTTATAATATTCGTCAATCATTATTTTTAGGACTTCAAGATTCCGATGATGAAGATATCGAGGGAGAAATTGACCAACAAATTGATATGTTGATTGCATCGAAAAAGTCTGTTAAAGAGGTCATTGCTGGAGCTCCTACTCCTTCGTCCATTGCTACTCCTGGCGCTGCAGGTAGCAGCGTTCCATCAACGGATAAGCTGGAACTTGCCAAGAGGGTGGCACTCAAATTGACTTCTTCCAAGAATTTGGGAGCTGATTCCAAAGCACAAATGACTGCCGAAGCAGTAATGAAGGGTGGAATTATGAACTTGACTCCCAAAGTTACAGGTTGGTTATCGCTTTCGAACCTTTCTGCACAATTTTTATATCGAATACTTTTTCAAAATTTTAGTAAAAGCTAATCTTCGATAGTTGGTTTATTTGACAAAGTATTTTATAAATGGGGTTTACTTTTTACAGCTAAAAATGTCGCTGAACAGCTCGCTGCCAAATTGAATGACAGATTGAATTATCAAAGGCCAGAGGAAGGATCTGGAGTCGGAATGGTAAACATTTATTTTATGTTACAGTTTTATAGTGTTTGAGACTTGGTGATTTATGCAACAATGCTCTATACTATCTAATCTTTGTTCCCTAGGACGGACTCCCATTCTCCATTGAATCCACGAATCCTCAAGTACAAAAGAAATATGAAGAAGAACTCGAGATTAACGACTTTCCTCAACAAGCCAGGTACAATTTTTGTTATTTATCCATACTTTTTCCATCTGCCTTTAATTTTAATCATCTAATAAATCCTTTATTTTTTTTAACTAGATGGAGGATAACATCCAAAGAAACCTTAGCACAAATAGGAGAATACTCCGAAGCTGGCATCACTGTTCGAGGTACATTCGTCCAAACTGGAAAACAAGCACCCGAAGGAGAACGTAAACTATACCTTGCAATTGAGTCAATGTCAGAATTAGCCGTGAGTAAAGCTGTCAATGAGGTCAGGAGGATATTGAAGGAAGAAATGCTTCGAATTCAAGCCTCTGCTCATCAAAGTATTGGAAGCAAGAGCAGATATAAGGTTGTCTAATGTCCGAGTTTTGTAGATGACGTATTAATGTTATGACATAATTTATAACTAAAATTTTTCCAATCAAGTTTGCAAGACAAGAATAAAGTACTGTTTTATATGAGTCGTGACTTAAATGATTTGAAGCTACTTATTTAATAATATTTAATATTCAATACGGTACAATTTTGTTTGCGTCTTACTTTCGAAAAGTGGCATCATTATTATGCATTATTATTAGAAAATCGTACAGATCCGACGCTTCCATAAGCCCTGCCTCAGCTAAAAACTCAAAATTCTTCCAAAAATAATTCAAATTTGCTTTGGAAACATTTGGAATTTTTCTAACACGTCGTTTTGCTAGATAAGTACATAGATAAATACACACTACTAAATATATATAATTTTCTCTATGTCATGCAGAAATCTCAACAATCAGAAGCGATGACACAGTCACCACAAAATGTGACCATCAAAAAGATCCTGTCCACCAGCATGCCAAATTCTGAAAATGAAACCTCATCCATTTTTGAAATTCCGTTAGAGGTTTCATAATATGCTAATCCATTTTGATGCCAATTGTGTCAACCTCTCAAGCAACATGTAAATATTATTCTGTTGTAAACGTAGCTCTTGGGGAACTTATTGGACAACTATATTCCACATCAAGACAAACTTCGTCTCCGCGAGGTGCATCCCTATTTTCGAGGTTTGTTCGATGATTACATCGGGTTCAAAGTGACCTTGGATAAGGAGGATGCCTCCACAAAATTTGATTTCGTATCCGGCCTCGCAATCAGAAAACTTTTCATTCAAAATTTGACGTGTCATAAATCCAAAAGACCACTCGTCTTTGGCGAGATATTTTTGTACCCTCAATTCATACAGGAAATCACCATAAAAGGTGACATTGATGTCAACCTCTTCAATGAGTTGATTAGATTCTGCGTTGCCCTAAAATCTCTGGAACTCTGTCCTGGGAGCAATATTGTTGCCAAAAAATCTGGAACCTCAAAGTCCAACAAGCATAAAAGGCACGTCCTACCCGAAATTGACATCATGTCAGCCACTTCCCCAGAAAAATATTATCTACAAAAATGTCGCTGGGTCAAGCTTTTACTGAATCAAGACTCTTCTGAGTCGTCAGACCTGAATTGCGAAGCAGTCTTGTCCTTGATGAAGTCTATTCGGTCTCCATTCCTCCAACGTGCTGTCATCCAAGGCTGGATTTCTGAACGCTTCTCCGTCTCAAGACTGACCCTGACAGCGGCCGAATTTCTGGAAAGAAATCCCAGAATAGGTAACAAATACTTTATTTGTACAACAACTGATTGTCAATATTAAGCAATTGTCTCACCTAGAATCCTTCTTTTTCGGAGTCATTTACGAACATTTGATTGACGATGATTCCCCCATTTCTGAAAAAGACGCAAAACTGGAGGAATTTATTCAAGAGAAGCTCAGAATTGCTGGGGATCTCGTGAAAGTTCAAAAGTTTGGGATTTCGACGCAAAGCAGTGGAATGATTTTGTGGAAAGAGTTTCTCCGACGTCAACATCACTTGGTTCACGTCTCATTTACGGTGGATCTAGTGGAGGGCATCTTCAGGGCTGATATGTTTCGTCCGAGTCGCCATTCTCTTAGTCAGTTTATTCTCAGAGGGAAATTTCTGACCTCCTTTGATTTTGGGTGGCTTGAAGATTGTCACAATTTAAAAGAAATCTGCCTCCACAATATTGAACCGAATGAACAAACGATGAGTACGGATTTACATGCAGTCAACATGGGAACAATTCCGGACGGGCTGGAATCCCTAGTTAATAACTCGGTCGGATGAGATCCTTGCGGCTGTGAGGAAGTTGAAATTGAAAACGTTGGTATTGTTCAAGACGGGAAATAATGCAGGTGAAACGGGACTCAATGTGGAATGCCTTAAACTAATTTTTACGTATGTTATATTTGTCATAAACATAGAATAACATGTTTAAAAATCCCATTAATTATCCCTTTCTGAATATGAACATGTATATAGATGCCGAACCCTGGAGTCAGTCCTCTTGGTACGATTTGTCGCCCCGAATCCCATCGAGGCTGCCGAATTAGTGGTGAGATTGCAAAATCATTTGGTAGAAAGTAATGGTGCATTAATATATTTTACGGAACCATTGTTTAATACATGACTAGGCCATTCTGCAAGCCATGAACGATGGTCAAATTCACCGAGAAGTGAACGTAGGAGGAGAGGTTGGACATCTGTTACCAGTGCAGGAAGGAGATGATTTTCTAGTCTGGGATGCTGATGATGAACCCCCACCTCTGATAGAGTCGCCATCATTAAATTCAGTAGAAGAGACTGCTTCTTCGTCTTCATTTAGCAAAAAAGTTAAAGATGACGCAAAAGGGGAGGCCATTTTAGACAGTGATGATGCTACTGCTCAACCTGGTACATCCACACCAACGCAAGATATTTCGAATGCTAAATTGGATGAAGCAACTTCACCTACCGTCATTTCTGCTGATGAAACGGTCCCTAATAACTTTGACCCTTGGGTTCAACAGAGAAGCAACAATCTTCGACCTATTTCCAATAATGATGATGCCAAACAATTTCCCGAAATTACCAATGTGGAACCCAACCTGCTTCCAGAAATTGACGAGAAAAGTAAAATCACAGGAAGTAGTGGGGTCACAACGGTTAACGAATTACAACCTCTCTCACCTCCTCCTCCAACTGATAAAGATGACGCTCCTCCTCCACCACAACCATCCTTTGACGAGAACGACAATTTGGATAACGTCGATTCAACCAGCCAAATTGAACCCGTCACGGACAGCACGAACGACTGGGAGACTGATGATGACGCTGCTTCTGAGTTAGACGATGAGGGAGAGGACGGAGATTGGGAAGACCTCGAATCCGATGCTACCTATTCCCTTATAGACTCGGACGACGAGGGTGTCTACGATCTCGACCTGGACGAATTGAACTTGGACGTTCTTGAGCAGGTTGCAGAGGCACAAATCGCAGCGGGAGGTCAAGATAATGTTCAACTCATTTTAAATCTTCAAAATGAGAATGATCTCCAAGAAATGTTGGGGATGTTGGGACCCGTGGCTGGAAATGCTAACCTGAACAATATTCAACTCGGATTCATACTCGATGGGGTGATTGACATTCAAGCCGTTGATGCCAAAAGGTCAAGATGGGTGGCAGTAGAGGATGACGAAGGACATTTAACGTATACGCTAAAAATCAGCATAGATTGATTGTTGGGAGGTCAAAACATACAGAAAATTATATGTAGAATTACGCAACGATTCACATTCGAGATGATTACTCGAATTTATCATTGAACAAAATTATGATTGAAGAATCGCGACAAAAATAAATTATTTATTGAGAGCTTTTAAAATTGGTCAAAATCCTAGCTATTTATACGATAAAGTGGTGCAAGTTCTCATTATTGATGACATGTAAAGGCAAAAATCATATTTAGTCCATTGCAATTACAAAATCAAAATTTTTATTTACATTTTTTTACAAACCAATCTTATTCAATCTAGTCAAACTCTACTACATTTAATTAAGATAGGTTCAAAATTTCAAGGGAGTAATTTAACAAAATTTAACGTATGTAGATTACAGATTTGTTCTTCAGACATCACATTAAATATCAGGAGAGCAATTAATAATTTTCTTCTTTTCAATTAAAACTACAATGTATTTATTTATAAAGCTACGTATTTCTTGTCATTCTTGAATTCCTTACCATTCTATATTTAACAATTTTAACTAAAATTCAACTTCAATACAATTTTATTTTATATTTACTGAAGATCGGTTACATTTACTAAAAGGGAGAACAAGGATTGTAAGATAATAATCAATTTTATTAAATTTCCTACCATCCTACAACAGAGAAAACACAAATAGCGTACCATCAATCATCAACGACTGTGAGAGTAAATTTCTTAACGTATTTTTGCCTTCCCCAAAACAACTTTCTTATTCCTAGTTAATTAATTATTACATTATAAATAATTACATGTTATGGCATAACTCAATTCTCAGTGAAGAATTAATAGGTATGCACAAAAACTCGCAATTTCCTCGATTTTCGAACATGCCAAGTAATACATTGACCTCTGATCTAGGGCAGGTTTATCTGTTACAATCTGCTAATTTATGACATGGTAAAAGTATTGGAGAAAGGACAGCCAAAATACATAGCAGATCAACATGTTAAGTCTAATATATTTACATACACCTAATTATTTAATCATCACACAAATGCTCATCCATAATTATTTGTAAGCAACTAAATAATTAATTACACGTACAGTTATTATATTTAAATAATTACTACATGGGACCATTAAATTCTGTCTTTTATACTCTTACGATAGTTTAATTTTGACAACTTTACGACCATTTTTCCATTAAATGTCTAATAATGCTAATAATACTTTCTCTTTTATTGAAGTACTAAAGTAGGGTCAAATGTGGGAAAAATTCTCTCATCAACTCAACATATTTTATTATATTTATTGAAGGTAGTTATTATGTCAGTTCAAAACTAATTAATTATGTCATCAAAATAGGAAAAATTTCGAAATAATGTTATATCTCCAAAATCCAAATTATTCCTGGTGTTGATTTCCGTTCAACTTTGAGAAGAGAACCTTTCCATGAACTGATTGTAAGGGAGGATGCTGTTGCTCTGCAGAAGAAGAAGCTGAGAAATCTTCCGGATTCAATCTACATTTGAAATATTTAAAAGATTTAAAATTACTTAAATAATATATGAACAGAATTATAACAGAAATTAAATCTTACGATCTTCTGTCCCTCACGAAAACCGAGCTATCTGCTGAAAACGAATTGTCCAGTTCTGACTCACTTTCTCCACTTTTTAATTTCTGACCTGTGCAAAAATCAGTTCAACAAAAGAGTTAGCGAATTTACCACAATAAAATTAATTGCAACGCCAGAATTTTCCAACCCACCAAGCCCTTCCACCCCCTCATCGTCTTGTTCCCGTTTGACCTTGTGCATTGCAGAAGATCGCATCAAAACCTTGTTTCCGTTGACGTAGTTGCTATTTCTTCCCCTTAACAGTTGGGTTACCATTCTGAGTGGGAGAATGCGACCAGAATTGCGATCCAAGAGGCCCATCAACCACGCCGGGGGTGAAGAGGGACCCCCCGTGACGTCGACATTTGAGATACCGTCGCCCGAAAGGGAAGAAAACTCTTGTCCAATGGCACCACCACCTCCATTCCGCTTTCCATGACCTGCATAAACAAAAGTGACACTTGAAAAGAGAAAGTTGGACAAAAAATGCAAAAGATTCTTTTGTCCAGAGAGGTGAAAGTGGTTCACAAAACGTTCATGAGATGAGAACGACCTTTCACCCTGGTAGAAAAACATCATAATCATCTATGTCCTACTACTACCCGGGTATATTATTTTGTCGTGTGAACATCATTACGAGTCTCACTTAGCTCAACCAACTCAGTAGGTAGTTGCATCATCAAGAGCACATTTTGTCTCAATTTATTTGCCCTTTCTTATTTCCTTTATGTAATCTTTCTCACTTTCACGGGATGCTTGCTTACTTTCACCAAATCTAATCGGACAAACCCACCCACACTGCCATGTTACAGGAACAAACGATATGCATCCTGACATTATAGAGACAACGGAAATTAAACGAATTGGCATTTCGTCTCGCTCTAAATATTCTGCTCAACTTTTTCCACAATTTCTTTAGTTAACCTGCCCCAATATTTTGCGTATTATCACCAATTAAGGACAACATGTCTCTTGAATCGTGCATCTCCTGTCGACATATTCGTTCTAATCAATAAATCCATCAATCATCAATTTGTGCAGGACTCGTGACCCGTCTCATGTCCCATTGCTCCCAGGCTTTTTCCACCTTCTTTCCTGAAAGAATGGACTCAACAACAAAGTTCTATCGTGATGACGAAGTTATGAAATAATTTGCTGATTCGTTTTCCTCGTGACTAATTGGGTGGATTGGATTGGATGAGCTCTTTTTCCCAGAATCACTTCACAACTGTTAACATGGATGAGTAAATTGGGTGGGTGTGATCCTATCGCGTTTACATTATTACAGGGAAGGATGGAAAGTCACTAGTTCAATGGATTCATAGCGTGACAACACTTTACATGCTTTCTCTCTCTCTCTTTCTCGTAATGATTTCCACTTATTAGACAATACTTGACGTTACTTTCACTTATTTCAGGTGGGCAGGCGGGTTGCGGAGCTGGGTCAATAATAAGTAAGTACATGGTTGGATATTATTAGTCGGATTTAATGAGTCTTCTAGGAAGAAAGTTCAACCTATTTTGTAACAGTTTGACATGCTGGGGCTATTTTTAAACTAAATTGGTGTCAGTTAGTTACTTATGGTGGTGGATAAAGGTGAAATAGGAATGACTATTGTTCGTGTTTTCCAGCATAAATATATTTCCAATTATTTTAAGACGATGTTTAAAATGTACGGAAAAATAATTGAATTTATTCCTAACAATGTTTTCCAATGTTTTCAACATTAATAAATTCATATCTTGCTAAAGATAGTTAATTTGGTTAAGAATGTAGGGTACGTTAGTACGTTATAAAATGTTGTTTTTAACCAGTATTATTTATTCCACCCTTTCTTTGCATCTGTACATAAAGCAACATCAGTTTTATCGTTGCATAATTTGGTCTGGTCTAGACTAAAATTCTCAAAACAGAGAAACTTTCTTTCTCGGGAACCTTCTCGTTTAATAAATCAACATATTAAATAAGATTTTCAATATTTACGCTATTTTTAATATAAAAACATATATTCCTAAAGTAGTCCAAATGTGATCAATTATTACATTGGAAATTTATAATTCGATAAAGAATTACAAGTAAATAGTTTTGTGTGGGTTGTGCTCGTGGTATTTTAGACCATGTAGGCGTATTTAGGGACATGAGGCGTCCTTCATACGGAGAAAAAATGAGACTCTTGGGTATAAATCAATTTTAAATATTTCAAGATTTTGGTTTATATAAAGTCAATTTTACCTTGAGGCGGAAATGGGAGGTAAATATGTATGTAAATAAGAAGGTAAATGTCACGAGATCAAATAAATCATGATTTATGTGAAACACGTCCCGATGTTTTGGGGCCGAGGGGAACTTTAGTGTAATATAGGCAAATATGTAGATAGCATGTTAAAGTTATGTAATACTTTGTACTTGTCATCGAATAATCCATCCAAAAAATTAGGATTGGCATTATAAATCTTAAAATTCAGGAATTGTTTCATATTTTGTATCCTAAAATGGGGTCACATTTTGATCGACAGACACATGTTTTGTTACTTCTGTCATGTTCTACTGCACTGCTTTAGCCTGTCCTACATTTTTTTGAGGTCCATCGTCCTCCCCTTTCCAAATATTTACCGAATGAGTAAATGTGCATTAATAACTGGAAATAAGTATGTACATAGCTTTTGGCCTGGTGTCTAGCTTTCCGCATTATAAAGGAAGACACAGGTCGGGTTGCGGCATAAATAAAATGATGATGAACATGAAACAAAGGGTGAAGTACACCCATAACCGTATAGTAATAGTCATGTCGTACGTGTATATGGTCACCCTGCACTTCCGCCCATGTATGTAGTACTTCCCATATTTACACTAAAGTACTTTCACCAATGTGCTTATTATTTTGGAGCTGTGTTATTATGACTGGAATGACCCTACCCGTCTCATTTTGATCGTATACTAATATTCTCTGACCTGACACACCGTGTTGTGTGTCCATACTTATTAATTGCCAAAATCAAAAACGTTACGTTCATGTTAAGTAATTGTATCTGGAACGTTGGATAATTTTGCGTTGTGCTAAATTTTTCCGTAGGTCAGCATAGTTTCGTAACGTCGTAGGTGCTTACTCATTACCGTTCTCGACGAACATGCCAAGTTTGTTACGTCTTACGGAAAAATACAACGTTTCAAATGTTAAAATCATTCGTCGGCACGTTGCCAACTACAAAATTATCGGTTTTTCCAAATGTCATTTAGTTTAGACGCCTACTTGCCTGTCTATTTAACATCGAAGTATCATCATCAAAACTATCCCCAGAAAAGAAAATCATAAATATGTACTTTTTCCATTGTCGAAGGATGAATGGGATCAGCTCAGCTTAAATTTTTATCTCGTCGAAAAGGTAAAAGTAAGTAAAAGGGTGTGTGTAGGTAGAAACCGACCCATGAACAACAATAACCTTCAGTCTATAGTCTAGCCCTGGTTTGGTGGCGATGATGGTGAAGATATTTTTTAAGAGGAGGAGAAAGCACCCACTTTGACATTTCCACCCATGTACTGGACACTAAAGATGACGCCATAAAGGGAGCGAAATGGGGTATAAATCACATCTCTCAGCACGCCAACAAAACAATATCTCCACCTGTAAATCAATCCCAGTCAGGCTAAAACCACCACCACCACCACCGGAAAATAAAACGGTTGCACAACCACATCCCCACAAAACCTTGGCAAAATCCTGGAGAAAGCTGGCTGACAAAAACAGGTCGGTTTCATACCCCAAGAAAGATATGTATGTATTTTATTATGCAAAGGATTCCGACCAAAAAAGGATTATTATTATTACATTTAAAAGTCGTATTGACACGACGCCATGAAATAAATACGAAGAAATACAATCACCCGCCACCTACGCGTTTACTTTCACTTGCCCTGTTTTTCTTGCGAAATGCGATTATACTATTGCCAAATCCGTTAAAATATTAAAGTGAAATCGGCAGATTTACAAAAAAATATGTGTCTGGCGAAAGATTTTCATATATAATTTTAACTGTCACCATAAAACTGTGGTTTACGATTTGGCATGGTTTTAAATAGTAATGCCGGATGACGTGAGAGGAGAGAAAGAGATAAAAAATGAGTCTTGTTAAAGGTTAGATTTGTTGCATGGAGTGGATGGATGGAAGGAATAAGGAATGAAAAATGTGGAGCAGCAGTGGGATCATAATCATCATCTTGGAGAAAAAAGTGAGATTTATTTACGCACATACCTACATATGTATGTACATAGGCCAGATAATACAATATGGGGACAAAAGCTGAGCTTAAAGTCTCAAAAACAATGACATGAGACAATATGTAACACACAATCGACTTTTTTCGTCCAAATTTAGAATCTTCTTGGCTAATTTATGTATTTCGAACTTTGCCCTGGGATACTTTGACCCTTTAAAAGTTTTCGAGCATAACCAGATCATCATCCGAAATCGGAGAAAGTGAATGTACTTTGTAACAAGATTTAAGAACATTGTTCTTTTTTTTGCGTTGTAGATATGTAAATATTGAATTGTGTAAAGATCAAAGTTAAATATAGCTTGTTTTTGAATGGGCACTACTCGTAAAGCTTGCAATTAAATTAGCCAAATTTCAGGGGGCAAAATATACATAGTTTTATAAATAATGTTAGTAGCAGAGCTAATAACGGTTTTTAAGGCGGTGTGCATAATGGCCATCACACCAGAAACTTGATCGATCGAACGGTTACAGAGGCACTTTATTAGTTTAGTGCTAAAGAGTGGTGCTTTGGGTTTTAATCACATTTCAGATAAACCTCATCGTCATCCTCACTTGGATACTTTCTCTCGCAGGATAATAACAGAGGAAGGAAACGTCCACCGAGATTTGCGTAGGAGCACAAAATCAAATCATGAACAGGAACAATAATAAAATTATGGTTTTAGTGCAGTTTGGTTGTCTCATAATTCTGTACTTTCTGGTCAGAGTGGTTTTATAACAATGTATGTATCGTCAAGGAACGTTCTCAAGGATGCATTTCGACAGACGACAAGGGCGAAAGTTTGTTTAAAAATGGATTATTGAAAAAAATAGCTATTCAGAAATAGCTTTTTGGTTTCCGATAAATGAAATAATTAATATTATGAAGAATTTTTAAACTGTGGTCCGTATGAACTAAATGAAAATGAGCCACCTAAAAATTTGCAGTTGAAATTATTTATCTTAATAAGGACCATTTAATAAGGCTCATTTCTAGCTTCATGATGAATAATTCATCGCGATTTCTTATTCCTTTTTTGCTCTAAATACTTTGCTTCTCAAGTTGTATTTACTTTACAACTTTTCCCTGCTTATTAAATCGATTGTAACAATTTTAGTTTTTTCATCTAAATTTTTGACATCCATAAAAAGTAAGCGTGGTGAGCAGTGAGTTTGTTTCGTGAGTGGGAGGCAAAGTGAGACGATGAAATAGAAGAAAGGTCAATAGGTAACGAAATGCTAATAAATTTTGGTCCATTCTTAGAATCATCAACTTTTTTGTTGGGCATGAATTAATTTAAAAATCTACTTTTTCATTTCCACATGTATTCCCCACCGAAATTTTTGATTAGTATCGAATTTTATTCATGAAAAATAGTTGCGCAACCAATCAAGGTATACTTTCATATGTAAATTAAGCCATGTAAGTTAATCCAATCAAACTTGTACTTACCTCCCCAACACGAATGTCCATATCTCCAACAAGCGCCTGTAAAAAACGAAATTGTCACATTTTACTCATGACGCAAGTTTCAAAATTAATTAGAAAATATGAAATTCAATACTTTCCCAGGTAAAATTAGAACCTAGAAATTTACACTTACTTCGTTTAGCTTCTGTAAATGTGGCAAGGAGAGAAAGTAGCATCGCGACGAGCAACAGGCAGCCCAGGACTCGAGGAGTGCCACCACCACCTCCTTTCACCAGGGAAAGTCTCAAGTTCTTCATTTTCCAAATTTTCCTCCTAGAACTTTCTCTTTTCAACGTTTATCTTATTTTATTTTCTCCGCAAACGAAACAACTTCACTGGAAAATACCGTCAACAACAAGGCATAGCAATTATGCTTCTGGAAGTGAGAAGAATTTGCGTAGGCAAATATCCGTACTTTGTCAACAATTATATAAAACGTCGCGTAATTAGTGAAAAGGTTTCAAATTTCACAGACAGAATATGGAAATGACTCTGAATTCTTTGCGACCCTTTTTACCTAAAGTTTGTACAGGATCGGATTACCAAGCAAGATACACAAAGCTATCGGACCAAAGACGACAAAAGTTGGATGACGGCGTGGCGTGGCGTGGTGAGTTTGACGTGAATTTGAGACGTGGCGTGATCAGGTATGCTTCCGGACGAGCACTGATTGAAGGTGAATCTGAGGCTGTAGCTTTTTATCCACTTTCTCTCCTCTCCCCTCTCTCCGCTCCGCCGACCGGACGTGCAACAGGCTGACAGCTCTAACACCACTGCAACCGACGCCAACTTTCTCACTATTACGACGGAAAACTTCTCTTACGCAAAAGTTTTTCTCCGTCGATGATATACTTACTTAAGTATTTAACTAACTTTGAGGGTATTCACGCACCCTTGGTAACTACGTAAACAGCGTAAAATCCGTAAACTTACAAACGTTTACAAACAGCTTCCCGTGAATTCACTTTCGCAATTATTTTCGTAAAAATTTATCTGATAATTGAAACAAAATGCCGATCATTTCCAGAAAACGGAAATTAATGGAAGAAATTTGTGGAGCTGCATTTATTGATATAATAAATACCACGAAGGCTGTTCCTATAAAAATTTCGAAATTCAACCCTCCTAAATTCTAATCCTAAATCACACTAAATCTTAGCTGAATATATAACTTCTTAGAAATCGGTATCGGTGCCCCTCCCTTATTGCCCATCTGGTTATTTTTTGTTCATCTTTGACTTCATATTCGTTCATGAGAAGCTATCACCGTCAGCTTTTTGAGACAAGTTAGCTTTTTGAGACAAGTTATGAAAATCGGTATGGGTCACCCCAACGGGTCCCGGATGTGATTTTTTACCAATTCCACTTCATATTCTTCCATTAGGAGCCTTTAGCAGCCTCTATACCAAATTTCAGCTCGATTGGATGATTTTGAAAAATCGGTATGGGTCACCCCTTCGGGTACCTCCAGATGAAAAATTTTCCAATTTCACTTCATATTCTTTCATTAGGAGCCATTAGCAACCTCTATGCCAAATTTCTGTATCGAACAATTTTTTTTCTTCCCCAAATTGAGTTTACAAAATACTTTACAAAATTAAAAGACGCCTGTGAGCTGCGTAAGTTTACAAAAGTTTGTAAACTGATTTTCCTTGACAATTTTTGTAAAAGTTTGTAAACGTTTGTAAGTTTACGGATTTTACGCTGTTTACGTAGTTACGAAGGAGGGCGTGAATTGCCTCTTTATTTATTCGCTTTTATTATGTATAAGAAATTTGGTAAATAAAACTTATGAAATGTTATGAACAACTACGTAGTTTAGAGAGGTGGACGGATAATGAAATTATTGTTGGCCTTTTAAATAGGTCAATGAAATGGTAAGTTTGACTTGTTGATTTAATTTTGAAAATTTTGTATCAATTGATTCAGGAAAAATAATATCTCTAGACGTGTTGAAAGACTAGAGTGAAAGTGGATTCGTGGATATACGCTCAAATTTCGTCTGATATTCTTTTCAATTTCAAACTGCTAAAGAAATTGTTAATTTACTGATAAAATGATATCTAGCTCTAATTCAATTCTTGCTATGTAACACCAAATTTGCCAAATCACCTTGACCCACACCCCCATCAAAAAATTATTGTGTTATGTGTGGCTAGAAAGTGGGAGTATTCTTCCATGAAATTGTAAAAATTGCACACTTCCCCAATTTTTTATGGCAACAAAACAGTGACGAAATCCACCCAAACGGCCGTCATGATTTAGGATTTGCCATATTTACAATCTCATCTCGGGATTTAATAGCCCATAAATATAAACTTGTATATACACAATAGTAGGCGATGAAGATCCGGTGGCGATGATGTCATCACTTTATTAATGACGACCATATTTGAACACACTTACTATCAAACCACTATGCACCATAGCTCAACGTCTTCTTGATCACGGCTTACCAAACCCAGGTGAAGATTGCTATTAATAAATTACGGAACGGGAAATGATGCACGACATTTTTTTATAGGCGTGGGCAGTGCGACACGAGGCAGATTGAGACGGCCCGGAGAAAGCAATGATGTCACAAGATCTTTCTCCTGCAATAAACCATGCCCATTTTTCAAGGGTTGTTTCCTATAAGGATTTCATAAATCTGTTGAGCCATAAATAAGCAGATCCTTACGCTAGAAACCAGCCTCACATTCGTGAGTATGACGTGCTGTTCACTTCCTGAAATGAAAAAATTCCAACCCCAGCATGTGCCCTTGGCTGGCAGGACTGTACCATGGCTTTTTTGTATAACTCGGATTTAATAATTGCAAAATTGTTGTGGTTAATACGTAGCAAAAAGGGCAAGGGCAATTCGGTCATGGGATTTGAGAGACAACAAACATCCCTCTTTCGTAATAACCCCCACTGATGGTTTGGTCTGGTCAATGGTATGTTATTCAGACTGGAGATGAAAGCAAGTTGGCAAATAAATAAACAAAACAATAGAAATATCTTACAACAATAGAGGCATGTATACAATTGTTATGGGTAGAAGGTTGTCGGATGTACTTTTTTGCAGACATATTCATCTCAATTTATCCGAGCAGAATGTGAACGGATTCACGATTTGTCTCAAATTCCCCTCATGCACCTTTTACATACACAATTTTTATAGGAAAGTGTCGTATTTGCTCATAAAATGGGATGTTGCTTTACAAATAGAAATCTTTAATGAATATTCCCGAAATATGTTTCAGCATTAACGGTATTGTCATATATAACCTTCACTAAATAACTTGTAATGGAGGGTCCGTCAATTAAACTTGCCTGGCTTAATCTTTACCTCTAATCTTACCCACGGTCATCTAACGGCAATAAAAGTCCTCGAAATATGTACTGCTGCCAATTAAAGGTGAAGGAATTTAAGGTAAATGTCAAACCTATAAAGTTTACCCAAGATTTGCGCAGATCAACCTTTTTGATTTGCGTTTACAACCGACAAATTAATCCGTTATTGCCGCATTCTGTTTATTAGTCGAGCTCCATTTCAGCCTTATGTACATCGAATCTTTGATCTTACGATTAAATGACTGACTTGGATGCGTAATACCAAAAGACCAACAAGAATAATTACACCATATCGACTAACTTGTGTATCTACGTAGGAAATACGTTACCCACCACCAACGACCACTATCTGTATTCATTTCACTGTCCAGCTTTCTTCTACTTATTTTATTCTAATCTTATAATCCAATCTAATCTATTAACTTACTTAGTTGGCAATTTCTTTGGGGCAGGAAGGATCATAAAATTAGAGCACATAAAATTAGAGCACGTATGTACATATGTATGTATGTGCATATAAGGACACAGAAGCAAGCAACATAGTCTTTCCTACTCCTTAATTTCATTAAGTTTCGCATTTTATTATATAAAATGAGAAGACAACTAACTTTATTTTCCTTGCTTTCACTCAGCTTCGCATAAATCATGTCCCTTCACAATTTACTACTCTTTCATAATTCAGCCTGACAGGCGAATTGTAAAGGTGGCATAATATGTATGTGGCACACTAAACAAGTATTAATAGTACCTCACAAACCACTCAAAACCACACCAAACTGGTTGTTACGTATAAAATATTATGTATGCAGTTATGTTAGTGGGCAGAAGAATTCATAGTTTTATTTTTCTACATATTGGTCCCATCTGCGTGGGTGACAAAGAAGTTAAAAATAACTAAAACAAGATTATTACAAATTCTAATTAACGAAAATGTGGGTGAAATTTTGCTCCCAAAATAGCACCGACAAAACAACAACGACAACGGAAAAGAGCTTTTAAGGTTAAACCACAACACAATTTTACACCCATTTTACACCCATTTGTAAGCTTTTTGGTGACCACAACAAACCTTCAAATTGATGGTCAGACAGATACGCCGTCTGCGTGACATCATCCGAAAAAAGTACATGTGGAAGGAAGGAAATACTTATTTTCCTACACTTCTTTTACGTACTTTTCGCAAAAGTTTTTCCAACGGAGAAAGTTTTCTTTTCCAGAGAAAGTGAGCCATCAAGTGTAACAATAACGAGACAATAATGGAGAGGAGATGACAAGATTGAGATTGCTTGCACAATACGAAGGGAGAGAGAAGAAGGCTACCTGAATTGAATGGCGTGACGGGTAGGCTGATCTCGGCAGGGGTCCCTGTTCTGCTTTCCCTTCCAAAATTAGCACATTCAACAATTTTCTCTCATTTAACACCACATTGACGGCATCGTAGTCTTCTTCTTCCTTATGACGAAAAAAAAGTGTCACGATACAAAACATGTAAGAATGAGGCTCAATTTGGTTTTCTGTTTGAAAATTAATCAATATTTTATTATCTGTCTGTCGCCTACTACCTTCAATCCTGATAATGATGTATGAATTGAAAACTGAAATTTCCCTTTAATAACGTGACGTCCGCATGTCTTTACATGCTTATTTTAAGCTCCAGGCCTCCCCAAGTTATATAGGGGATCGGATTACGTTTTTTTACATTTCTAATTTTACACGTAAAAAATACAAGTATGCACACACAATTGAAATTTGATTTGAGAAAAGATTTCTCCAGGGAAGGATTTCACACCGTCAAAGCCCATCCGTCATCTTATGCTCGCGACCTCTTGGTGAGAAAATCTTCAATTACTTTTACTTTTAAATTTTGAGGGATGATCTCACAATAAGTATTTTACGGCCCATTCACCTTGCTTCCCACTCCATAAATTTTACAAACTTACATATTTTCTAGAACATATGTTCAAGTAAAAATTCCGGTGGTAATAACCAAAACAAAATTGCGTTTCACGAAAGTACAAAAGTTAACGGGTTCTTGATCCGAGATCAAGATTCGTTCGTGGCAAGTTGGCGAAAAGAAAAAGTTGAGGAGGAGAAAGTGGTGGGTGGTTGGTTGGGCAGAACGCTGTCTCATCATCCTTCTTATCGTTTACGTGAGGGTGGTTGAGTTCGTATGAAGATCATCATCGTGGGTGGATTGGACGAGTTGTGGGTTGTATTTGTACGTACATATTTATTTATTTATTTATTTATCTACCCAGATCACATCTCGATTCTCAATTTCTATGCAAAAATGTATATGAAATTTCAACGAAATTGTGGTTTTGAAAGCACATGAATGTATGTTTATGACGTGTGTGATGTATGTATGATTTGCTTCAGGTTGAGTTTAGTTTGGATAGAATTTATGAATTTATTTGGAGTAACGTTTCCCAATTTTTAAAGAAATTTAACAAAATAACAATAGTAATAATTGGATCAATCAATACGTTTTTTTTAAGAACTCTTGTTCGAGTCAGATTGTTATGTCCGGTTGATATTTTTGGTTAACGTGCTGCAGCCCAGGGTGCAAAACTCATGCGAGGAATTGCTTCCAAATCAGAGCAAGGAACGAGTGGATTTCTGTACAAGATAATGATCAAAATAATATTAATTAAATAGAAATGATGCGACTATGATTAGGATTTCTTACCCTTTGGAAATAGTCCTCATTCCAAAAATAGGAACTTCTTTCAATCCCGTAGTCCAACAGAGAATGGCGGACAAAGACATTTTGCGGATTTCGTCAAGTTGGGCTAAAAAAAATTGAGATGAAAAAATATGGGAAAAATTAGTATTACTAGAAAATAATTTCTATTTATAATTTAAATTCTCTACACGAACACAACTATCTGTTAGCTTAAACTTCAACAAAAAAGATTTTTAATTTTAAAGTAAATTCGGCTTTAAACTGCGACAACTTGATTTTGTATCGACACCAGGTTGAAGGAAAGTTAGGATTTTATTTTATGTCTAAAAAATGCAAAAAAAAAAATCTTACGCAGCGTGAACGAGTGTGGTTGACCTCCTTCCGTGTAAAAGTAGCGATCCGCCCTCTTCCAAGTTTGGAACTGATAACCGGCAATGCACCACCAAGTGGGGCCAAGGACGGAATCTTTCACGTGACGTTCCACCACTCCCCCGGGATACAGCTCCAGGTCATCTGGACTCTTGTACACCTGGGAGAACTTGGTCACGACCTGATACAGAGAAATGCAGTCGTATTTTCATCTCAATTTTACATTTCGCTCTACATATTTTACGTATATTTGGTAATCCTCACCTCGGGATCGATCACGTCGTAAAAGTCCTTCCAACTCTTAGCCCTTGGCAATCCGCACAATTCTCTGTAATCGTTGTAACTTCCAAGTCCGTAATCTCGACCTCGATGGATGTTGAAGGTGGGGAGATCAAGACCAAAGTGACGCTCATCTTTTAGCAGCAAGTCTCCAATCTGTGGAAAATCAAACCAAAAATCATAGTCAATTCCATATTCAGTAATATGCAAAAATATCTAATCGTACTCACCGATTCGTCATAGTACTCATCAATCCTCCTCTGCCTCGCCCAAATGTAGCCTCTCACAATCTTATCGAAATTGGCCGGATTTCTGTACAGGATCGCGGAATTGAAGTGTTCCTCTAATCTGACGACTTTTTCCGGATAATATGACGCATTCACGAGTGCGATCTTCCCATACACGCTCGAATGGAGACGGAAGGCTGCTGCTGTCCACTCCCCATAAGTCCAAGGCACAACTTTGTCACTGTAGTCGTACGAGTAGCCCTTTGTGGGTGGGAGAAGTCCATAATCCAGCATGAATCGCCAACCCAGAACGATCGGGAGGTACTCGGTGTAAGTGATGTGCTGGAAAATTGCGACCGTGACACGTCGACTTTCTTCAAAGACGAAGTCATCATTCCATCCCGGGTTGAGGCGTGATATCCGTTTGGCCACGTAATTGTGCACTCTCATGGCTACGGTTTGGATCATGCTGAGTCCGGGGTGAAGATCGGTTCGGAGATCGCCAGACTTGAAACAGAATCCCAACGAGGAGTTGAAACATTCGGAATCTTTGTCGATTGGGAGGTAAACTTGATCTCCGACTTGGGATGTTTTCAATAATCCACCAGAACCAGCGCGGATGTCGTCGCTGATGTTTTTAGTGGTGCCGTAGACGAGGGAGCAGTCGAGGAAGGAAGTGGCGTGGTTGAGCTAAATGCATAATTATTAATCGTTATTGCAAAAATACTATGAATAATATTCGCAATTCGCGATTTACCTTTGATGCATATCCTGCCGCGCAATGATAATTCGGTGCGGCCACAGCTCTCGCCATGTTTAAGCAGTTTTGACGATGTGCCTTGTAAAATTGGTCATTTTGTGGGAGTGGGACAGCATAGCATTTGGGATTGACTTGTCTCTCTCCTCCTTCATATCCGAAACAACAGTCGATAAAGAGTCCATCATCGGCCTGGTAGAATGGGACGTGGGAGGCATCATGGACAATGAATTGGCCATAATTGACAAACATCATGTTGACCTCTTTCTCCTCAACGTTCTTGTCCGGGAGGGCGTGAGTGCGGAGTCCACGAGGCATTGGGAGGGGCGACCCGTCGATGGCAGTCTTTATTCCGTGGACACGGTCAGAATAGCTGCGAAAATTCATAATTTTTGTCCCACCTTGGCATAATTTACACCACCATTAACCAACTGTGTAATTTACTAACCTTGGAATTCTGATGTGACCCGTGGCCGAGAGGGATTGTCCATACCACGGATTTTTGATATTATTGCATGATCCGTCATAAGTTCGATATTTCGAAGGCTTGCATTTTTTGTAGTACGAGTGGCAAACACGCCTATACTTGTCGGGAAGGAGATCACTGTATTCGACAAGTTTTAAGCCACCGTCATAGTAGGACTCGGGTTTATAGCCGTATCTGCAAGAATTCATAGTCAGTTAAATATTCTCACCCAACCACCAATCCCACATCGATGCCAAATTATCTTTTCGGTTAATAATTTACATAATTTAATTATCTAATGCAACCCAAAATCAAAGTCTGAAGAGTCAATGACCACAGAGAGTCGAACCAGTCAAGGCAATTTATGGTAATTCTTATGATAACAGATAATGAGACAAAAGCTAAATTTTTGGTGAGTCAAAGCATTAACCTGGAGATTCAGTCATGTGACAAATCATGTCCAGAATCAAAAAACATGCCAAAATACTTAAGTCCACATTTCAGTACTTACTGATTCTGAAGATACGAGGTGACCAATGTAAGGAAATATCCGGTGTCGGCATAGTCTCGAACTTTGTCCTGGTAGATGGGTTGGGCTACGCCATTTCCCCAATACGACGGGTCATCCTCCCCTCGTCCGAGTGCTTTATCGTTACGATAAAACTTGTCCTGATTGTGTATCGCATATTTGACCGCTTTCTGTATCGCTGCGGGTGGAAGTTTCACGACTTTGCCGTCATAATATCCTCCACCATACTTTTTGGGGGAGTAATTGATGATGGACGGTTTGTAGCCTGGAAAAAAATATCAAAAGTATGCATTTTACGTCAGCACAAGAAATATGCCATTTTCTACACTGACCTCCAAAGTACACGTCCGGGCAGCACGATCCCTTGATCCCATACCCATATTGGCACGATTTGTAATAGTTTGCATGGTCATAATCATAATTTGCCGGTGTTGCGTAATACTGGGCGCAAGCTGCGAGTGGTTTACAAGTCCCAGGGAATCCTTCCGGTCCGGAACATTTAGTGTAGTAGCCACCAGCTTGGGACAATGGGGAGAGACATCCCACTAAGACGAGGACCAGCGTCCTCGACACGAAACCCATCTTCCTACGAGAACAAGTAATATGTTATTCTCTAATTTTACCAAGTTTCAAGAAAAATTTATAGAAAAAAAGAATCTACTGCTGAAAAATTTTTAAATCCTTACCTTTTCTACAAAAAGTAACAGGAAGCAGGAGTGAGAAATGATCTGGTCAGAGGAGGTGGAGATATAATCGTAATCTCCTTCAAGACTGGACACGGGGAGAAAGAGTTCCTTATGAACCGAGTCCAAAAGATGAACTAAAATCTTACCGTGTGCTCTGGACAGTTCCAAACTTTTGTTTTAAACTCAAACTATTATGTGGATGGATGGATGGAGTAGATGCTCAAAATTCAGATAGGCAAATTAGTTCGAGATTATGCTCCACCAGTCAGTTCATTCATTTTCATAATGAAATTCCATACCTTTCATAAATTGATTCTCAATTCCAATACTGTACTGGCTACAAAATAGGTATTATTAAATCATGAATCTTGACCAACCACAAACCATAATCGGATGAAAACGACCAAAAATTTCTAAAACAATTTCATATGTTCTTTACATAATATTTTACTTTATTACGCACCATCCATAAACAAAAATCTTTCTCACATTTTTTATCTCTTTTTTGTAACAATCAATTATTTCTCATATAAAGTGAATATCTTTTAAAATTATGAGTGTGTGTGCTTCACATACTTATTTACTTACTACAAACAAGGTACTCGAGTAATCAAAGTCATGATTTCATTTCATTTTACATCATGAAATGAAATTGTGAATTTTCTATATTCTAAATTAATTAATTATTTAATTAGCAGTACAACTTTCAGAGATCTCAATTAAATCTAAATTACAATAAAAGGTGACAAAACTGCTCATCACCGCCGGGTAGAAGTTAACAACAAACATTATTACATTACATAACAAAGCAGGAAACAATGACGGGCGCAAAAATTTGTTTATTTATGCATTCGTTCTGATGCTGATGAGAAAATGACTTTGAAGAATTACTGCTATTTCTCATTTACATAATTAATTTCAATTTGTCAAAAATAAATTGACACTAAAATTTTACACCATTTAAAAAAAAATGATTTTTTTTTCAAAAACATTCTCTATGTGTGACACAAGCCCTGCGTGATAAGAATGTCATCCAAAGCCAGATACTCGTTATCCACACCCAGCCCATTTTTATCAACTTGGAAGCTGAGGAGGAATTGTGAGTGCAAATCTTTAAACTGAATTCGCCCCGTTAACCAGTCATACGCTGATTTACTTTTGTCGCTAAATTCTACCCGGGTGTTACTATTTTCAGATTCGGAAGTACTCGTTGGTGTCGCATTGACCGTGAAGGACACGGGACGATGGGATGAAGGGTCAACTCCTGAGGATTTTTGGTAACCTCCATCAGTTCCAAAGAGGTAAAAGACAAACCGGAAATGAACACAGATCAAGCCGTCTCTATTCGTGGGGAAAATGTCGGACCTGGAAAATAGAAAATAAATTTTTTAGAATTTAGACTAAAACTACGAGTTGACGAAATATGCAAACGTATGAAGTGACGAAAAGTTACCTAATTTGCAGAGATGAATCAGCCCCTGGTCTCACAATGCTTGCGAATCCATGTCCATATCCTGGGGTCTCGTACGCAGTATAATTCCATCCCTCAATACCCATCGATCTCACCGGACATTTGGCATGATCTAAAAATTAGTAATTATGCAATTAATTAATATGAATAGTAATTAGGACAATAATTTAATTATTACTAATCTTATAACCTACCAAAATCACAGAAAAGCAAAATCGAGTTGGAATCTTCCACCGACAACGCTGCCGTAATTTCCGGAAGACGAACCAGTTTTGATTCGGGTTTCTTATTGCTATTTTTCTGCCCTTGGTCAAATCGGTTTTTATTTTGGTTCAGATTTTGGACTGGTCTTCGCGTGGGGAAAGAGTCGATACTGTTCTTGATTCTGTTTCGCTTCCCTTCTTCCGATGGATAGACGCGAGGCGAGAAAGTGAACGGCTTCCTGGTCGTGAGCGATGTCGTGGGCTTCGAAGTTGTGGAAGTGCGTTGATATTGATGGGTATTGAAATTAAAGTGATTATTATTATTGTACGAGGGAGCTGATGAACTTGTCAACAATTTCTTGGGTGGTGTTGTACTAATGAAACGGCTGAATGTAATTCTTGGCGTGGTTTGGTATGTCGTCGTCGTTGCGGGGGTCGACGTGTACTGGAAACTGTTCGTATTTTGCTTTTGGAACTGATTGAAACGGTTGTTTGTGTTCTTGTTCTTCGTCGTTCCGAACCGATTTGTGTAAGGAGCCGAGGTTTGGTGGGTGACGGGTTGATGGGTTTGGTGATGAGAAAAGGTGTCAGATCCGAGCTCGTTTGATTCTAGTTCGTTGAAGATGATTTTATTTGGATGGTTTGTCGTGGGGAAGGTTCGATAAGCCGTGGTCCTCTGAGTGGTGGAGTAAGGTCGACGCGTTGTTCGGAAGGTTGGCTGGGTCGTTGGGGGGAAAGTGTGCTGCGTCGTGGTGGGATAGGTTCTCTGGGTGGTTGGGAAAGTTCGGTGAGTTGTTGGTCGCCTTGTCGTTGTGGTTCTTGGCGTTGTCGTAGTCGTCGTCGTCGTTGTGGTGGTTGTGGTTGTGGGTCTTCTGGTCGTCGTGGGTCGTGGCGTCGTCGTTGGTCGTGGCATCACTGGAGCCGCTGGGGCTGGAGCAGGTTGATAGAATGGTCGACCACCTCCGCCACCACCGCCTAAATTATTAGGTTTAATTTCATCAATTTATTCCTAAATGGTTCAAGGTCTGGTTAATTTTTAGCATAAATAATATTTTTTAACACAAAATTATATCCGCATAAATATAATAAATAGGTTTCTCTGTTAAATAAATACTTACACAACATCATTACCCATCATATCCTTCCATCCATTAAAGAAAGTTTAAGGAAAAGATCCACACCCCCAATTTCCAGAAAGATATACGTACATTTATCATGCAAAATGCAGAAAGTGCAAAAAAATAAGTAGATAGATAAGTAGATTATCATGCTCAGCAAAATGAAAAGTGGTTGCAAGAATTATGAAAGTAAGTTGTAAGTCAATCATATACAAGAATGCATTTCGTAATAATATCACAATTTTCTTCACAAAAAATATATTAACACAAGTTAAAAAACACTTCTATAAATTATAATCATGCATGGTTTCGGTTCGGCAGTGAAAATCATTTTGCAACAATTATAGGTTTCGTTATTGGCAGTGGTTTGCAAAAAAAATATGTAAGAAAATAGCCTCACGGGTGCAAAATAAGAATTAAAAAACATATAAAAAACAGTTATAAATATTTAAAAAAGACTGGCAAAAAAAGATAAAGAAGTGAAAGCATTTTTCTAATTAATTAATGATGAAAAATGCTGTGATGCGTGTAAGAGTAGCGATCGCTGTGATGATTAACGTTGACATGATTGGCATGTGGGACGACATGGTTTACGGTGACGTGGGGGTGGTGATTTATATTAACGTGGGGGTGGTGATTATTCAAATTAACGTGGGGGTGGGGTTGATGATGAGTCACGGTGACGTGGGGATGAGGAATCACGCTGTGATGGTGATTAATGTGCGAATTCACCGTGTGGTGATTCACACTAATGTGCGGAATAACATTGTGGTGGGGAATAATGTGTTGCTGGTGGTGGTGATGATTGACCGGGGGGTGTGCCCCGTGATGACTCGTCATGGCAAGAATATATGGCACCAAGGCGGTCGACATGATGTGGGGATGATCGTGAGGATTTCCAATGTGCTGGGTTTGATGGTGCGCTATTTCGAAGGAATGTCCCTGCTGGGGCCGGGTGTATGGGTGTACGGGTGTATGACTCAGATGGACGGGGAGGAAATTGGGGTACTTGTTAACTGACAAGGAGTTGGAAGAAGAGGCTGTAAAGAGGAGACGAAAAGAGAGATAGATTCAAGACAAGACACATGCCATGCACATACAACGAACGAAGACAGGAATTTCATTCACAGGACAGACCATTCACAAAATATTAAGCTTAAGGAACATGCCTCATAAGTATTTGAAGCAAATTAAGATAAGCGCATTCGGATGAGATCAAAAATAAGCAAACATAAAAACACATAACCAGTTATGTAACGAATTTTTGCTGACAAGCACAATGTTGCTCTTCATGAAATTTAAGTAATTATGAACGTTTGCTATTACGAGGATTTTACCTGATCCGTTGTGTTTTCCTGCCTGACTTTGGAAGTGATAATACTTGTATCACGTCTTCTCAGCTAATTTGCTACTTTGCTCATTAATAACTATTCTATGATCAACTATTAACTAAATTGATCAGTTGTAATTAATTAAGTGTAATTAAAGTACCAACTATTTAGAAATGCTATTCAATTTACACTACAAAGTCTAAAACTATATGGAAATCTTCTACTGTTAATGTTAGTGCCCATCACCCCCACTACCACTCCCATTATCATCATTCCCACCACTACTACTCCCATCATCATCTGCGCTAACAAAGCTAAAACTATGTTCTAAATCGGGTCTGCCCGGACCTGAACATGTTTATTAAATATTTTAGCTTTTAAAATAGTAAATTAGCATAAACTTGTATTTATATTGACCTGAGCACAATCCTGGGTACGAGTTTGAGCAGGACGTTCCTTCCGGACATTCAGAACATGGGGCTCCCCTTTTGTACATCTGCGTGGTGATAATATTTCCGGCTGGACCATAATTGCAAACGTACAGTTTACGGTTCCACTTCCCATCTGCAGATATTACCAATTTGTTTGTGAACTCTAATTATACTCGTTTTTACGGATTTGTAGTCCAATTTGACTTACCCTTGTAGTAGACATATCCACATCCCATTTTGTATGTGTCAGCCCACAGCATTTGCGTGTAGTGACCGAGTGGTTTGATAAATCTGGAGCAAAATACATGAAAATTAGGGGATTTTCGACCAGGTTGTTCATTCGTATTTTTTTCATCCTTTAATTTGATAAGAGTTTGCTTATTTTCAAATTTTCTTACTCGAAATGGTCAATGTGTCGTGGACTCCAATCTGCAACTTCATCGTACCACGCCATAATCGCCTGCTCCCAGTTGGATCCGGACCTCTCGATATTTTCAGAGAATTGATACAAATTCTGTCCCGTTAGGAAACGATCTGTACATTAAATTTGGATTGTGCTTATCATCAATTTTATACGGGAAATTGTATATGCACAGTTTTATAAATTTAAAATCGAAACTCACCAACTTTACGACAATTCAAACAATCATGGTTATACTTGCATTGTTCTGCGAGACGTTGGGCTGACAGGGCTAATTCGTCGTCCCATTCCTGAAATAAATGATTATCTAACTGTAATGATGCAGATGCAAGGTCACATTTTGACAGTTATCATAAAAAATAAGCAATAATTCTGAAAATATACTTATTATTTCTTTAACACTAAACTATCTACGTGTGCAGTTAAAACACTCATAAAAGTTTCAAAAATTTAGAATATTCACAAATCGACACGTGTCGTCTCATTAAATGCAGTAGTTCCTTCCTCATACAATTTCATAGTAAAATCTGCATACAAAAAACCCAACCCTACTGCTGCCAATGCTGCCTGCATCCTTTTCCCATTTTCGTATATTAAAACAAATCGAGTTCGTGACGAGAAGTGTGAAATGGTTTGACAAGTCATTGAATTTATCTCTTTAATTATTATTTCTTGACATTATAATCTTCCCTGATGAAAAAAAGTGGTAGCAAATCTGAACTACGAAGCAACATCACATCATTGAAATGAGAAACCAATTTCCACTTCTTCATCATCCCGTCCAACTCCTAAGAAACCAATCCAATAATAAAACACAATGGGTCTGTTGCACCTCACATAAAACTAATTTATACTTGATTAACTAATTAATTAACTTTTTGGGAAGAAGAATCCCAATGAATTGATAAATTCTTCTTCTTCTCTACCTCGTTTTATATCTTCCTCATCCGCATTATGCATCATCATTTTTATTAATCAAGTTCATGTCATGGTCATAAATAATTCTTGTGAAAATGACTTCAAAAACTTACCATTTGTCTCATATTTGACGCCATGGGCTGGGCCCCTCCACGACCACGACGTTCTGCCCCTGTAGCTACCATGAGTCGGAGAGAGTTGTGCATGCTCATGATTTCTTGCCGTTCTCGAGACGATATTCCAAGTTCCATCGGTTGTTTGCAGCGAGGACCGACTCCCTGTTAATTAAACGAGAAATACATTTTATTTTAATGGTAATTATCCCAATTTAAAAAATATTATATTTTTTAAGTCAATATTTTATGTAGGCACGAAGGACAAATCACATCACAAAAATGCGACAATTTACAGATCTCAATAATACAAGACGTTAATACACCCAGACCAAACCAATTTCCATTGTTCTTTCTAGACAGTTAAAAAGCGGAAATATGTATAACAATCCAGCTTAATCTAGTAACTCATATGCAACTTATCCGCTATTAGAGATGCTACAGTACCACCGCCACCTTAATTAATGAGACAACCTATGACAAAACAGACATGGACCTGTAGCCAATTAATTAGCCGTTGTTCATTTGTCGCTATCATTGTAACAAACCAACCTCATCTTCTACTTCTTCTCTCAAATGCATATTTAAATGACAAAGAAAGAAGAACCAACAACAATTGATTGTTATTTGTGTGGTCTGGTCGGATGTTACATACATGAAAACCGCTATAAGTGTCTTATCCTTTGGTGTCTTTACACAATATGAATCCCTTTTATATTTTTTATGAGTTTGGCTTTCACACTCCATTTTGGGGAGATGAGAAAATGAAATAGTGCAACAAAACTGAATGGGGAGACGGTCATGCCTTCTTTTTTTTACTCGTTTGTTTGTGGTAGTTGTGAGAGAGGTGCATTTTCATAATAGTTGTGGTGTTATGATATGTTTGGTCGCATTCTATTCAACGAGTTAAGATGACACACATAATTAATTTCATTCTAGTAAATTTAAAAATATATAATAGGTCAAGGTCAAGGACGTTAATGAAAAATAAAATAATTTTGGATTTAGAAATACTTTTAAAAGTTGAATCAATCATCAATTGATCAATTGAAACAAGTTTTCAAAACTTGTGGTTTAATTTTATAAACATTCCATTTGCATTTCTGTATATTTTGGAAATAACAGAGTCAATAGCAAAAAATTATTGTTTGCATCCAGATTTTCCAAGATAACTATGCAAAACCTCGAAATATTCTGCAATTAACAAGTCATCAATTCCTCCATTAATCTTCATACAATTAAAAGAGATGCAGTCTTATCTGCACTGCAATAATGTTGCGTGTCATTCAATCATCCATCCAATTCACTACGCAGCCAAACTAATTGCTCAGATTTATGACCATTGAAAAACAGAACGACATTTCAATTTCATTTTTACTTGAAATTACTCCACTTGATCCGTATTCTCCTTTTTTATGTCACGAATTCCCATTCAATTAGAAGATAGTGCAATCATCAATCAATATATGAAGTGGTCACAAAAACTAAAATAACTAAACGAAACGCCGCACAATAACAAAATATCTTATAAAAAGAACTATTTGTGTTATTGTTATTCATTTTAAGCGCATCTTTACCATTATTATGTTCCAATTGATAATTGATTACCTTCAGAGAACGTGCATTTTCTCTTGGTCTCAACTTTTCAGACCAAAAATTTGGACTGTGGATTCTTTACATTTTTAATTTAAGCATGACGGTTTTCGTGACAAGTTTGACCAATATTGCTATCTTGTAAGGAAGGGAGAAATACCGAACTTGTTTTTTTTTAGCTGGACTGGCCTGGCCTGGACTTGTTCGTGCCTTACATAATTTGTTTTCCAATAAAAATAAATTCTATACAATCAAACAACTCATCCATTTATCTATTCACTCCTGAATTACACATAGCCACACCAGAAACATGTAATTAAATTGCTACCGATACCACCACTTGATCACGACTTGTTCTGTCTCTGTCTGATCTGGAAAGAAACCATTTCACTTTCGCAAAATTGTATAGAACATGTCGTTTTAGTTTTTATTAAGAAGGAAAAATGCCACAAAATTTCTGCATTTCTGAAAACAAATCATTATTTCATTCAACAATTCGACATTTTTATAACGAGTTTCTTGTGTTAAAAGAGTCAAGTTGAAACTAATTGGTTTTCAGGTTTGTAATTAAATTGCATTTTTGTAAATTAATAACTTTTTAAGGTTGAATCAATGAGACAGGAGGAAAACCTTGGCATTGGATTATAATCACTATTATTCTGGAAACTGGATCAACAGAATCAATAGATAAATCAAATTCTTCCTTAATTGGACAGGTTCATGAGGTTGAGATAAGATAAGAAATTAGATAAAATAAGAGTCAGATTTTAACAGGTTCTCAATTAATCAAATGAGGTGAATATGATTTCTTAAATTAATTATTCATACTTTTAATACAAAATGTCTATAACACTGAATAATTAGTAAATAGTTAAATATATGGTCCAGGCACATTACTTATGTAAAAATGGCTTCAATTTTAATGCCTCGACCATAGTGTCCAGATTCTTAAAATTAAGTTTGTGACTCTATCCTACAATTTATTATATAAGTTATCAAAAAAAATGTAATGTTTAGGCCAAACAATAATTTTATACAACTTTGCATGTTCCGTGAAACCTATTGATATCTATCAATCTCAACATCTCCAAAATATGAATTACGCCGTCAACCCTTTACAATTTCTACAAAATCTCTAAAACTTGTAAACCTCACGAAAATCGCTCCAATAAATTTTTATCTCACACAAAATACGTCTCAAGCTTAAGACTCTTCTCCAGTCTCATCTTCTCAAGGTTGTCATTTCGCTCAAGCATCTCATCACCTTTTGTTCATCCATAGATTGTTTAATTACATAATCGAGCATAATCGAGCCGAAAGAAATGAGGCAAAGTCGTCGTCGCTGATGGGTCCAAAACCCTACCCACAATATCTCACGAAACATAATACACGCACAAACCACAAAATTGTACCTGACTCCTCAGTATTAATATGAATATTAATTATGCAAACATTTACTTTTTTGCCGTGTCGGAGATCCTTCTTTTCTTTCAGACTTCTTTTTTTATCCATCTTATTCTAATCCTGGGACCATCGTGTAATATTTCATCGCCACTCGACTCGAGCAGTCATCAGTTTCATTGGTCACCCCACTAATTGATTAATTAAGTGTACCCGACCATCATTTAAATGTACCCCGGCGAGCATGGAAAATTAGAACGGGACAGAGGAACGTAGACAATGTAAATAGCAAAGAAGTCAAAAGTGAAGAGTAACGAAATGGACATAAATCGTGACAGAGATTTTAGTGATGGACATTTTCCAGCGGAGTGGTCTGGAACTAATTAGTCAGTCCAACCTGGATAACTAAGTAATTTCATACACAAAAATGGGTACTGAATGAAGTGAATAATTAATCAATCACTATTATATTCTAGCCAGACTTCTTAAAAATCTGGGGACAAAGGTACAAAAGATAGATATGTTTAAACATGCTAATAAATCGTTTAGCGATGACTTGATAAAAGCAAACTGAAAAAAAAATCCTATGTACTCCTGATCTTCATCTCGTACCGAAATCTCTTTGTTGTTAATTTGTACACTGGACAAAAAATGGGGGAGTGTAGAATATGAAATAAGATACGAAGAAGTAACAAATTACTTATTTTAATTTATAACAAATTCAATTAGTCACAATTTCAAGATATGTTAAACTTTGTGTAGAATCTAAAAGCGTGTAGCAATAAACATGAAAAATAATGAAATGTTGAAAAGTAGCTGTATTGTTGTAAAGAATACATAAATACAATAAGTGATAAAAAGTCGTAAATAAGGTACAGATAAATTTCCTCATTTGCTAAGAGCCAACGTCTGGACTGGACTGGAGAGAAAAAGTAGTATCAAAAGGTGTAAATTAAAAATGTCTCCTTTTCTATCAACACGATTTAATCAGGCTCAATTAATAATTAAACTTTTGTCATTATTAAAATACCATAAATTTTACAGAGAAAAAGGCTCCTTCAGTCAGGTGGACAAAGACACGTGGTACATACAAATACATACTTTGTTACTAAAACATTTATGGTTTGTCATTTGTAAACACTCACAAATTTATTGCGATTGTTAGACAATTGTTTACAAATTTAGCGAAGTTACTTGGTTTGTAGTGTAGTGGAAAATTTTGCACGCTTATAGATAATTTGCACAGAAAAACTACCACTTCTGCAGCTAAAATGCAATATGATGCACCAAGCGTCACAAATTAGTAGTAATTATGCAGAATCACTCACTTGCCCATACTACACATTTGTTTGCTTGGCCTTGCACTTGAGAGATGAGATTTGTTAAGTTACATGACTAGTGAATCGGTGGCTTGACTTGGCTTCATGGTTTGGGTGACAATGACAAATTGTTTCGTAAGTGAAGTGACATTCTCGGTGAAGAATATGTTACGTTAACTTTTTTGAGTATTTAGATGAAAAAATTGGCGATGATATGATATTTCGTCTCATCATTTCTTACATAAACACTACTTAATTGAATATACATAATTTGAATGTCATGATGCGTAACTACAACATGAACATGTGGACGTATGTAAATTAACTTATCGCAAAATCTGGAAAACTTTGAGATTTTTACCTGGAATTTGCACAGGGTGTGATCCTTACTAATTGAGCAGTAATGATTCTGCTCGGACAATCCTGGACCCCAAGCCACCACCAAAAATGAGATCATCGCCATCACCCCCAACGACCCGACGCTTCCCTGGTTAAATCTTGTCTGCATTTTTAATATCGATTTATAATCTGTAAAGAAAAAACAAGAAACAAATTAGTCAAAAAATAAGTATGTCATACTTAATTAAGAAGAACAAAGATAACATCGACTATAATTAGTCATCCAAACAAAGAAACTTTTACACTCCTACAAATCTGAAGAGACATTTTTACACTGACTCTAATTGCGATTAAGTGTAATAAAATACTGTAAAAATAATGGGACTTGAGCACATAAAGTGAAATCTGATCTGAAAGATGTAATCAAGAGATTTATAAAAATTCTTTGGTGCTATGTTTTATGACGTTGTTATTGCTGCAGAAACAAGGCATCATAATGTAACAGATCATCCCTATCCAAATCCAATTAATGACTTCATCATCATCTCATCTGATGCATCATGTAATTAATAAAGGCAAGTTTTTACTCCTCCAGAGAATCTGGGATTTTTGTAAAATTGTAGATATTCGTATTCCACGAAGACATTGATCATGAAAGAAGCGAGATATTTACGTAATTTTATCAGTTATATATCGAATTTTACGTATGGATTGATTGCAATATAATGATTTTTTGTTGTACCAAATTTTTATCCAGTTTCACTACTTGCAATTATGAAGTAAGAGGTATAATTTGCAATTGAGGGTACACACGCGACATTTTATTAAGTATAGATTCTTAGCTTCCTACTAATATTTGTGGATTTTTGTCAAGTTTGACATAGAACGAGAATTTCATTGTTTTAATAAAGAAAAAAACATGCAGAAATTGAGGAGTAATAAATCACCCATAATTTGTATTCATATACACCAGTGCCCAAAAAATGTCAAAAAGTAGGAAAAAAAATTCAACTTTAGTCAATAATATTGCGGCGATTCTTGATCTTTTGGTGCCAATTAATTTAGAAAAGTCGTCGTCGCCGTCTCTGCATCAATTCAATTATTGTGGAAATAGAAACTTTTATATGGCATAGCACGCAGTTGTCATCAGTAGAAAAAAATCTGCGACGAAATTGTCATTATCGTCATGTCATGTCATCGTCATCTCGTCGCTCTAACTTGTTCGTTAGTTCGTTAGTTAGTTTGTGTGGAAGCAGGAATAAGGTTACGTGACCTGCCATTGTCGCCACTACGAGATGCTGAATTATTATCGTAATTGAACTTGAGTTGTCACAACTTTTTTGGTGACACGATTCTCAACGAGATAATAATTGACAAGATTTACGAATTTTGGTCGGTGGCATAACAAACTTCGACGTCAGTCTAAAATATTTCTGGATGGACAATTAGCAGAAGTTTTAGCAGTGTACTTGAATTATTCCGGCGTGTCATCTCATTTGCAGATTTTGACGCATTATTAGCAGAGCCAGCATTTACTCATGGAACATGTAAAAGCCCGTGTCGCCGAAAATGGGGATAGTGAGATTTATGCAAATTTGGCTACCCAATAATTTTAGAGTATTCGACAAAACAGCCAGAAATTGTCAACATCCAAACTGGGGAAAATCACAACTTGATTCTGATTTTGTTTGGGTGACTTAATGAAAATATAGTGATTATACGATGATCTCAGACAGTCTGGCTATCTGTGATCCCACACCCCACAACAAACCGGGTGATTCTTGCAATACTAGCATTATGATACAAATTTATGCACAAATGTAAGTAAACTACCCACCTACATAAATTTATTACACATTTTCATTCACAAAATTGAGGATTATCTCATCCACTACAAATAACTTGCGTGGGTTTCATTCACAGTTTATTTGAATCACAATGCGAATAAATTAAGAAATTCATGTCCAGTTCGACATCATGCCAAGTTGTTCACTTTGTGTGAATAATTTATACTGTTCCAAGTAAAATGAGCAGTAAGTCACCAAAACTAAAGGGGACATCACATTCCCATTATGTAGCAATTTATTATTATTTTTTGCAAGTGCATGTACATTATTTTGCACATTTATCCACCGATATTGCTCACTATTACGTACGTACAACACTAAAATTTGGCAGTGATAAAGCCTAGCCAGCTTGGCAGCTAACGTATCCACCTGACTTGATCATCTACCTGACCACCAACTGAAAATCACTCGTGTGTGCATGTAGCTGTGTTTTGTCGCAAATTTTCTTGTGAAAAGGTGTGTTTTTGCATGCATAATTTGGCATCATTTATTCACCCATCTATGACTAAACTAACTAAACATGGTCACAATTAAGTAATAACTACACTAACTAAATGACCACAATTTTTCTATTAAAAATTTCACCGATAATTAAAAATTCATTACAATATTCCTACCGTAAAACTGTCCAAGATTTCGGATTAGGTTTAATAATTTATCGACAAATTGCAAAATTTTCCAGTTCACCTCCTCACGTACGTAACACAACCAGTTAGTGGGATTTTATATAACTGGAATTATTTTATTATTTATATGCACAGTTTGTTCAGTCGGGGTCGTATTTCAGGGACTCGGTTTGGGTTAAAATTCTCGAATTATTAAAGAAGAAGAAGAAGAACCTGTTTCATGGCTGGGTTAATTTGGGCAACATTTTGCGTGAATTTTATAATGTGTCATCCATCTCGAGCCAGGTGGGTGGTTAATTTTACTGGAACTTTTGTAACACATGTAAAACAAGTTGTGACAAAAATATGATCAAAAGGCAGACAGAAAAATTCAAGATGTGAAATGTTACCTAACTTTCAACGCTTTTTAGATCTGTTAATACATCTGCTGGAAATTTATTAACGTGCTCCGAGATATTTAGGGATCAGTGATGTAACAATTTTAGTATTTAAGACGACTGCAAATTATTGTGTTTTTGTGATGTCAGATTATTTTTTGAATGTGCAAGCTTATTCCCGTTTTTTAAATTTTTGCGAGTATTTGATTTGCAAATTGGTTAAAAGATTGATGAGGACGCACGATAAATTTACAATTTTTGAGGTTAAGTCTTCATGTTATAAAAATATCTCTTATTTAAAATTTATTTTCTATTACTTTCATTTTTTTATCTAAAAAAATATTTTGAACGAAGCCACCCCATTCTGCTAATCTATTCTTGGACAAATCGCCTCCCATAAAATACACACATCAGTCACCTCCACAGAAGCCACAGATTCACGACATGACCCCTGCTAATTTTTAACCAGTTGATTGTTCACCTCTCAGCCTTTACACTTTGAATCGTGTCATATTTAATTCACCTAAAACCAAACTACTTAAATTTTGACACGAGTGAGAAACATAAAAAAAATTTATAGTTCTTGTTTTACTCTGTTGTAAATAAATAAACTTGATTCATTCATTGACTCCTCCGTTGGTGGATGGATTCTGTCCTTAGGATTTTGATAAAAATGAGGAAAAGATCATGACTACATAAATTGATGAGTGAGTGACTGGCTGAGTGAGTGACACCACAATGCACTTGGTGATTGGTTTCGTATTATATGCAAGTTTCATGACTCGTGAAGCCCTTCAGAAAAAAATCAATGTTTTGTTTACAAATAAATTTCAATTAATGCAAAATAAATATCGCAATTGTAAGTTTTTTTGATTTTAGTGTCATTTACTGTACTAAAGTTTGGCTACAGAACCCGGATTTTGGCAGAGAATTGTCCACCATGGTAAATATTTGTACTAAATACGTTTCAAATCTAAAGGTCACATTTAATTAAGTGTGTGCCTACCTAATGAATTGATTGACCACCATCATAAATAGTGAATCTTCACTACAATCACCTCTCCTCTGGCTGAACCTACCTCTTCAATACGTAGATTAATGAAATGGATGACTTCCTTATAAAAATTGGTCAATCAAGGAGCTAATTTCTCATCATGCATCCATCCATCATCAATTTGAACTTGCATCATCATCCCTAATTCATTCATGGGCAATTAATTCCATTCTTTTCGCCTCAACAGTATTGGATTTGGATTGAAATATTTAGAAGTGAGAGGTGTGATGAGTTGTGTATGCTAAAAAATGTAGGCATCAGGAAGGAAGAGCTTTTTTGGAGATGATCGGCAAAAGTGGAAGTGGAGGATGTAAGCATCGTCTTTTGAGGGTCCATCTCATCTCATCTTCTTCGAGTAACCTTTACCAATTGAGAGTCATAAAGAAGACGAGGAGACGACGATGATATGAGTGGTTGAGTTATACAGGTGACTTTGAGAGTGTAAAAATTAGGTGATCACGACTTCCAATTAAATCAATGACCAAAATCTTCATGAGTAAAGACCAAAAACGTACTTACATACTGACATGACACTACTTTACTACGACTAAAATATCTCATGACTGCTACCACTTAATGAACTCTTCATACATTCATTGTCTTCCTTCCTATTCAGCAAGAATTTAAAAGTGCTGGGAAGCAATAAGAATTCCCAACGACAAGTTCTACGTGCAAAAGTTTAGAATTCAACTGGAAGAAGAAAGAAATCCTTGAGGGTAGAATTAAAGTAAAGATTTATCATTTAAGATCAAGATCAAGCTGAAGCTTAAAAACTCTGTAAAAAACGTGTATTATATTTATACAACATTTTACAGCAAAATAAATCTCACCTTTAACGTGGACAAAATATAGATACGAAATTATTACTAGCAGAGCAGAAAAGACCTCGTCTGACACTTGTCTAGAGATGCTTATACACATGCACAATGGGTACGATGGTACGAATGTAAGAATGAATAATGCTCGCCCAGCAGAATTAAATAAGAATCTATAAAAGTGGTGCAACCAAAGGTTAAGTAGGCACCATCATTTCGCTCGTTCGTTGAGACCTCATGAATCATAATGATTCATAATAATATGAAATTTGTAAACGTTCATACTTTTGGATGTCACCGTCTAGTTAGCAGCTCCGCAAAGAGATGAATATCTGCATGTCCCACACATTCGTTATTAAATATTTTGCGATGGTACATATTTACGTATGGATTGGAAGGAAAGGGAAATTATTACAAGTTTAAGAAGGAGAAGAAGTGCATCCATTCTACTTTTCAATATTTTCGAGTCCATCAACAGCACTTGGTTAGAAGAAGAAGAATAATGAAACCAAAGAGTTAAAGAGATGCACTTGGCCTACAAAATCACAACAACTCGCCCATGTCATTATTATGCAGATGTTCATAGACGCAGGGCACTGCATACGAGGGGAGATGACCATTTTGCTGCCATAACTTTGTCAATAATACGTATATTCGTTTTAATATTTTGTTTCGACAACTATTAATGTGTGGTACATGAGATAATAGCGACTGCACATTCTGCATCTCTCCAACAACTGCACAGAGATGATTCTTATTACGTAAAATAATCTTCTTCTACAAGTCGTGAACCATGCTTCAATAAGTAGTCGCACCGTACCACATGAGGAGGCAGGTTTGGTACATACTTCATAATCGCATATTATCGAATGTATATATGTACATAACTGAAGAGAGGGATTGGAATCCAATGAAGTGAAATGAATGTCATTTCATACAATAATATTATTAGGGCTGCAACAATGCTATGCACTTTTTAGGGTGTATCTCAAATGGTGAGATTGATAGTTACGTAATCTGGTCATGAAAAATGCAGTGTATTCCGAGAATTCGCAAACTTTCCAGTTAAAACTTAATATCTATTTATAGAAATATTTATTTTTTTAATATTGAAAAATTGAAATGAAAAACTTTACATAAAGAGCCGGAAGCGTGGATTATTTTCATAAGAAACATAAATCCCTACGAATTAATTTCCATCTAGAGAGCACGGAACTAATAATTTTGCCTGCACTTTACATACTTTTTCTATTCTATTCTACTAATTAGACAGCTTTGGAATGATTCCTCTCCTAAATTTGTATGCATATTGTTGATTCTTTATGAAATAATTAATAAATATTTTATAGCGAGCGGCATTCAATCCTCGTCTACAAAAAGGCTTGATGAGGGATGGACACATAATGTAAATAATAATGCAAATTATTTGTGGATTGTTTGACTTTTGGGAATTAACAACATTTCACATGATTAACCTTGTCTCTTTGATTAATTACCTTTTAAAAGCCTCCAACACAAAAACCTAATCACACGACGAGTAGAAATGTATCGCTAATAAGTTTACTTATTAGTGACAGAGAGATATCAGTGCAGGATGGATTAAATGAATGCATAAAATAGAATAATAACAATAATATTGTATAATTAGTAAAGAGAAAAAAATAACTTTCAGAAAAATCGTGTCAAAATTTAATCGTTAAAAATTTAATTTGCGTAAAGATCTCAATGCAAGCTCGGAGGCAAAATGAGACTGGTTAACAAAATCCCCATAAATTGCATGCACACGACCTCCGCAATAATCCCAACTTATTCCCTATTACGTAATCTTACAACAGGTCTTCTTCTCACGTTTTGTAAAAATTGCAGTAAATAAAATATAAAAATAAAAATAAATGAATCGTGCCGTACTGACCTTTCTTTTTCTTAACTGCTTCACCTGCTACTTCAACCCGACAGATTTGATCACAAGAGAAAATGAAAAGAAGTCTCAATTTTCCCGTCTGTATAATATTTTTGTGTGCACTACTAAAAATTGTGATATTATAGCACTTGCTTTTTATATATGTTTATATTGGAGATTCGAATAATGGAAGGATCAGGGTGGAAGGTTGAAGGGTTTCTGAGAGCAAGATCTCCAGTCGAGGATCAAATACTCGTCTGAGTCTGTGAGAATGATCGCGTCCACATTTTATCACCATTTTCGCCAACTTTTCCTTACCTGTGGTGGTCATCGCATAGCATGGATAACAATAATGGACATTGGATAGTACTGCTTCGTGGGATCGCCTCTCGTCTCATTTACTGGTTTGGTGTATATATGTACACACATACAGCCAAGAGACCACCTGCACTATCACACCACACCAAAAAGTGCACACAGATACGATGTAACTGGTGTACTTTAGATGGAAGAGATATAACATGACCAAGTTGTACGTGTAGTCAATAAGTAGCGAAGAAAACCAAAGTCAAGATCACTTAAATTGCAATATTTGGAAAAAGATGAGATTTATTAGAGGACTATGCGACATTTCAAATTCATTCGTAAAACTTCGCCAATCTACCATCTGCAATAAGAGATTTAATTTTGAACTTTGCTAAAATTGCCAATCGACGTGGAACCAAGCAAATAAATGTGACACTCAATTTTTTCACAAATCTGGACAAAATCGTGCCGACATAAAAGCTGAATAGGTACGGATGCCCATAAATCTGACAGGAGCAGGTTGACATTTCATCCAAAACTGGATGCGGACGCAATTAATTATTATTTCCTCCTGTTTACTTATCGCAATAAGGATGAAAATGCGGATGAAGATTTGCACATCTTCACCTCATCCATCCACCATTAACAAGTTCCTTTAACATTATTATCCAATCCATTGACTACTAAATAAATACATTGCATTATAATCAATGCAGTCGCAATAATGCCGTCTCGTTTTATTGCCACTGCCGCATTGATTCCCCACTGAACTTGCCTTTATTTATTGCAAATTGCAGAAATATTCATGATTTGTGCGCAGAATGGAATGAAGTTGAGTAATTAGCAATTCTCTTCACGACAAATGCTCAACTTTAAATATCTTCCTTAATGAAGCGATTCGAGAGCAGTATACCGAGGTTGAATCGGTAACACGTGAACGTTTTTGACCTTAAATTACTGGTTGAACGGCTTGGAGTGGAGGTCCCGAACATTTTTTATGTGAAAGCCCTTTTCTCGAGCTACAAGTCGGCATCGGTGATTTCAACTTTTGTACACTGATTTGACCATGGCGAGGTCAACTTTTGACCACTCGTCTCTCAAAACTTTCCAAACTCCGTCAAAAGTTTTTGGGTGGCGGAGAAAAGATTTTATTTCAGATATCCAAAGCCGAAAAAATCCATGGGACTTACATAAGGTGACTTAATAGGTATTTAACTATCCTGGATGATTGTTATCCCGAGTCTAGCTTTTAAGTCCTTGGCGTAATCCTGGGTCAAAAGGGCGGTGTGCGATGACGCTGCGTCGTGATGAACTATCACTTTTATGGTGTCCTGGCCATTTAGTTACATAAATCTCCAAAAGCGGTTTTAAAACAAAGTCAATATAGTACTTCGTAGTTACCTTCACTTTTTGTGGAACTTTGATAAGTGGGAGGACACCACGATCAGATAATGCACCTACCACCATTAACTTGTTGCAAAAGTTTTCCGTGTGCGGGATGGCCAATTTTCTGGAATTATTTTCTCCTTTGGTTGTATAGTAAATTTTTCTCTGACTGTTGGTATCTTGTAAGGAAAATAATTCTTCATCCAACGACACTAAAAGCCACTTTTATCTTTTGTCAGGTAATTCACATAAATTTTTTTTGCAGGTCAGACGACTATTTTTTTTATGCTTCCCAGTCAGCTGATTGACTTGGATTTTTCTTCTTTTTGGCTGCCCCAAAATTTTAATTGCTCGACGCACACTAGTCTCTGACACTTTGGTTAGACGTGCCACTGCTCTCTGGGGTGGTGAGTTGCCCTTAGAGGTCAATAGGTCAATTTTCTTAAGCACGGGCCTAATTAGCACTTTTCGGACTCGTGTTTGAGGCATGATGGTTTTCCTTTGGTACGAGCTTGTCGTTATTGACCTTCATTTTTAAGTACCTTATGTATCTGGCCTTTCGAAACTTATTGTCTTCGAGTTTTGAAGTGGTTACTTATGTATGTGTACGAAGAATTAAGTTTGGAAAGTGTTTTTATGGTACCCTCTTACTCTAAGGTCAATGGTCGGGTCATTTTTGAATGTAGAGAGCTAATTTTTTGCTCAGCCCTTGTCAACAATCACATGTCGTTATGCTCAAAATTTGAAACCGAAACTCCAACCCGTTTCGGAGCAATTCAAGATCGCCCGCGTTCACGTGTTACCGATTCATCCTGTATTTCAAGACTTGTTGTTTTGTTATTGACAATTTGTCTGTCTTTTGGTCTTTGTCTCATTGTTTGCAGGGATGGATCATCATCATCGTTAACATCATCATGTCTGCGGTGTGGGTGGATTGGACTGGACAGATGAAAATGGTGATGAGCTTTGTTTGGAAATTTAGTAGGGACACTGACTGATAATAAACATGCTGATTTACTAAATGAGGAGCAAGGTGAGAGCACAACAATAATAAAGAATAAGTTAGTATTGCAGTGTTTTGCACTATTTACAAGAATATCAGTAAAAAAAATAATATGTAGCAGTTTACCGCCGAATGACGTTATTTCAGAAAAATTACAAAATATAAAAAATTACTTTAGGTGATATGTTTGCTTCGTCTCGTATTTGCTGAATTCTTAAAATTTTTCAGATTTTTTTTGCTATCTTTATGAATTATCCACCTCCATTAAATTTCGCACTTCCTTCCACCCTCGCCTTGGTCGTGGTGTAGCAAAGAAGCTTATCTCCAATGTATCACCATGTATCTCCATGTTTGACACGGATCGCACAAAAGGTGTATCATAATTCTTTCCTCTCTTACGTCTCGTCTACCCTTTTACGTGTTGTGCCTTCTTCGAGTGAACAAATTCAATTGCATGATTTGATTTAATACGAGATCACATTACTTACGGCGAAAGAGAGATTATTATTTATTGATGACATAACAGAACTGGGGTGATCCTTCCTTCTTTCCTTCCCTTCAAGATCAGCCCTACCCATCACACAATCAGTGCGACTATTCAGTCCTCCAGTCAGTGGAAAATAAACGATAACACTATTTAAAATTATGTCCCATTCTCTTTATTACTGTCGATCCACTCTGTGATACACCCACAAACATGACCCAATCCGATGCGATAACGGATACACCCACTAAACTAACAGCGTTCTGATCTTCTAAATATAATGGAATTTGCATTGCTTATGTATAAATTAGCTAGACTCTCAGCATAATGACTCAAAACCTTAATCATATAGCAAAGAAATCATGATTACAACTTGGATGCAATGCAGTATAGCACAGCACACTTCTTGAGAAGGAAATGTGATCAAGGATATTTTACACAAAAGATTAGCAAGATTTTGCTACAATTATTTTACTCCTCGTCCATTCATTCTTTCATTCATTCATTGCGGCATCTTAATAAAGAAAAGGAGAAAAAAAGAGTCCAGCTATTTATTGTAGCAGAATTAGCAAACTTATTCCAAATTCCAGCCCCACCTCGATTATCGTAGGAACTTTACTTTACTTATTATAGTACTTACGCTTTGACGACCTCCATCCAAACCACACCAAAACCACCCACTCAATTTAGCAGCAATAATTTTTAGCGCATTACTTATTTTCACATATAATTTAGGAAGGAAGGAAGGAAGGAGAAATTGAGGTACTCGATAAAATGAAATGCATCGACCAATGAATAAACAATAAAATAAAAAATACACACAGAGAGATCACTGCAGACCAGACCACGCCACAGACGCGAACCACAAACAAAGTATGCAAAATAAAATAAATGCGCAAATAAATACGTAGAAAATGGACTGACCACGAATTACATAATTTGACGCGCGACCTTTCCTTCATTTCATTTGCTTGATTATACAAATAGGAGAGAAATGTGACACACCAATTTAAGTAAATAAACAGCAATAATAATTTTATTATTACAATTATTTACATTATCTCTCTTCTACCTAATAAATCCATCCCTTTGGTGTTAATGAAGATATCAGATGAAAACAGAGAGAGGCGAGAGGAACTCAAGCAAATAAGAGTGACAACATTAATAATCGCTGTGTGTTTTATCAAGGGTGTCAATCTTGCTAAATTTGAATTTCTACACATTTTAGGTTAGATTACAAACCCATATTTTGCACGTCTCATTCATCATCAAGTTATTATCCAACCTTTTCTTAATTTTTTTTGGATTGAGCTTTTAGTAACTAATTTGTTAGCATAATTAGAGTTATCAAGATGATGATTCTTTAGACAGAGATAATCATCTCCGAAAATGTAATCATAAATTTGCTGTTATTTATCGTTCCTGCTTCTGTTTGGTGTGTGTATTTACACCCATTTTTTGTAGTCTCGTTGCCTTCAATGTTACCTGCCTGTAACGTTTGTGAGTTTGTTTTGGGTGCGCATCATGAATAATTATAATTGTGTGATGGTCAATTAGAAAAAGAGAGAAAATTAGGTTGTTGAGGTATTGGGATATTTGTATTAAACTGCAATTCAATCCAGTAAATTATATAACAACGTTATTTATTATCTTGATACGGGAAATGAATAGGTTTCATAATTTTCCAACTCGAAAAAATCACATTTTTTGCATAATCACCGTATTATCTAGTTCACTAGGCTGGACATAATTGTATCATTCGTAATTTTTATTAGCATACAATAAGACGAAAAAATACTATTGAAATTCAAGTATGGAACATGGTTTACATACTTTTTAGGTAGCGGTAGTAAATAGTAAACACATTGTACAGTTACTTAAACCGCTAATTTTTTGCCAATTAGTTATTCACAATCAGCGAGAATAAGACGTGATTATTTTAATACGCATACATATTTTGTCAGGACTCACTCTACTGGAAATTAAATTAGTACATGGGCAAGAAACGAGTAATACGGAATGAATTCTTAATTTCATTTAAAGGAGCTGTTCATCATTATTATTATGATTTTATTGGCTGCATCATGCACA